GGATAGTGGAAAGTATAGGTTCCTATGCTTCCTATGAAGGGGTTGAAGAGAAGGACTGGAGAGGATAACCCTTCCCTTCAGAAATTCATTGCAGAGAGTTAGTGGATACTGAACATAAGTGTCATCTTGGTTATGGATTCCTTTTGGGGGGCCTGCTGCTGGTTCTCCCTTTAGTTGAAACAGGAATTATTGTTTGGGATTTGTTACTTTTATCTGATCCTTTAAAGGACTAGAGAACTGGGCTTCCACTTGCCTAATCAGTATCACTGCCTTCTAGATTCCACGCGTGGATGGAGAGTATGATCTGAAAGTGCCCCGAGACATGGCTTATGTCTTCAGTGGTGCTTATGTGCCCCTGAGCTGCCGAATCATTGAGCAGGTGGGAACAAGCCACTCATATTTCACTCTCTGCTTTCTCTTATCCCTTGCCCATCCCAGCTTTTATTATTGAAGTAACTAGCAAGACACATGACAGTGGTACTATTTGTGGACTTGAAACCAGTTTTTTTTTTTTTTTTTTTTTAAATATTTGTTTTTTAGTTGTAGTTGGACACAACTCCTTTATTTCACTTGTTTATTTTTGTATGTGGTGCTGAGGATCGAATCCAGGGTCTCGCATGTGCGAGGCGAGCGCTCTACTACTGAGTCACAGCCCCATCCCAAAACCATTTTTTTTAATATTTATTTTTTTATTTGTTTTTAGTTATAGGTGGACACAATGTCTTTATTTTTTACTTTATGTGGTGCTGAGGATAGAACCCAGTACCTCATGCATGTTAGGTGAGCGCTCTACCGCTGAGCCACAATCCCAGCCCTTGAAACCAGTTCTTATACCTTCCCAGGTGTTAGAGCGGCGAAGCTGGCAGGGTCTTGATGAGGTGGTACGGCTACTCAATTGCAGTGAGTTTGCATTCACAGGTGTGTGGCATTGCCAGGTGGGGCAGGGTGTCAGTAAGAGGTGGGCTCACACATCATGCAGTACTAGCATGTCAGTGAAGAGCTAAGTCTGGTCTGATCCTCACAGACATGACCAAGGAAGACAAGACTTCCAGTGAATCCCTGCGCCTTATCTTGGTGGTATTCCTGGGTGGCTGCACATTCTCTGAGATCTCAGCCCTTCGGTTCTTGGGCAAAGAGAAAGGTAAAAGAACAGAAAGTTGAGAACAGGCTAGCATGGGTCCTGAGGGAAAAAAGTGCCTTGCACAGGAAGCCTTTTCTCCAGGCCATGGTACCACTTGTTATAACCTTGCTGCAGGCTGCTATAACCATGAGCCCAATCCCGATAGGCTTGCAAGTTGTGGTATCCACCAGCCTAGTATTGATGTCTTTGTGTTTATAAACTGGTACACTGATTCATTGGGGATTGTGGAACTGGATGGGTCAATGTGGTTCCTGCTGGGAACCTGAGATCTCTTGTCACTTCTGCTGCTTTTGATTCCTTAGGGTACAGGTTCATTTTTCTGACAACAGCTATCACAAATAGTGCTCGCCTTATGGAGGCCATGAGTGAGGTGAAAGCCTGAAGCTTTTGAGGCCAACATTGAAGTCTTCCTTGGATGTAGGTGTTTGGTACCCAGCTGCTAACAAAGTATTCCCATTGGCCCTGCTGAGAGCTGGGGAATTTGGAATTTATTTGGGACCTACAGAACATATTTGACAACAATGTTCATATCATGTGCCTGGGATATTCCATTTTTTTGCTTATGAAGTAGAGTACATGCTGGTAAGATACAAGGGAGAAGAGGTAACCTTTGCTAAATCCTGTTTGAATATCATTGTAAATAAAGCCACTGCTCTCATACATAACATCCTGTAGTTCTGTATATTCACTTCTGTGTATATTAGTGAAAGCACAAGAAGAGCTATCCTTGGGGTTTCATATGTTTTGTGGACAGAACTCTGTGATAGCTCTAGTCCTATTGCATTCTTCTTGGAAAAAAAAAAAAATTACCTGTTCTGTACCAGAGTTTCCTCAACTGTAAAATAAGGAAGATGGATTAGGTGGTCAGCAAAAATTCTAAAACCTTTCTAATTCTAAAATTTTGTGATTCATTACATTTTCAAGAAAACAAATTTATTATTGTTTTAACTTAAAAAGGCACTTTAAGCTTTTTGTTTCTTATTGTAGAATGAAAGATTGTTACCCATTATAAAAGCTATTTCTGGCAACAGTAAATAGTACTCCTGTAAATGTCGCCAGTGCCCTTCTCTCTTTACCTTTTGAAAATTATAAACTATAACCACATATATTAGTGATCTCTTTTTTAAAAAAAATATTTATTTTCTAGGTGTAGTTGGACACAATACCTTTATTTAATTTATTCATTTTTATGTGGTGCTGAGGATCAAACCCAAGGCCTTGCACACACTAGGTGAGTGTGCTACCGCTGAGCCACAACCCCAGCCCCAAGTGATCTCTTTTCAGGCCTTTTCTAACTTGATCTCATTGGAAACTACCTCTTTCTCCTTGAAATTCTCTTAATTCAGCTCTCATGACACTCATTTTTGTTCTGCATTTTTGTTGTCCATCTGTCTCCTTTGATTACTTCTGTATGCCTGTCCCATTTATTGACATCTCTCTCTCTCTTTTATTGTGGCGATCTATTTCCAGATCTCAGGCTTTTGCTAAGCTTCACTCACACTAGTATTTCCTACCTGGTCGTTTCACAAACTCTAAATGTCTAAAAGTTACAAATGGAACCTCTTGTCCACTCTTTAAAGCCCTAAATCTGCTCTTCTTCCCATTTTTAATTGACATTATCATCTACTCAAATTTTGTTCATTTTTTTGTAAAAGAAACTATCCTTGATATTACTGATTTTTCCCTTTATCCCTCACATTTAGTCTGTCCCCTTGTCCTATTGATTCTTATTTCAAAATGTCTCTAGTTAATCCCCTCCTTCCATTTCCACAACAGAGGTCTTTTTTGTTGTCTCTTGCTTGGGTTTTTGCAAGACTGTCTCTCCCAGTTGCTCTGCTTCCCATCTGTTCCCCTTTCACAGTGCTTCCACTTATCAAAAGAAAGAAAGTCAAAACGTGTAATTGAATTCTTTACTAGAAGAACAATAATGCTGTATCAGAGCACACTCTAAGGAGAAGACATGCATCAACTAGCTAGCTAGCATTTTCGATACTGGCTGGCATGGTGGCACAGGCCTGTAATCCCAGTGACATGGAGGCTGAGGCACAAGTTCAAGGCTAGTCTGGACAATTTAGCAAGATCCTGTCTTGAAATAAAAAATAAAAAGGGCTGGGTTGTAGCTCAGTGGTAGAGCACCCCTGGGTTCAATCACTAGTACCAGGAGAAAAAAAAAAAATCTTTTGACAGTCTTATGTCAGGTTCGTGGATAAGATCAAAGACACTGTTGACAGAGATGTTAGTTCACAGAAGGAATATGTGGTTTCAGAAGGATTCTATAGCCAAGTAAATAAACAGTGACAGTGCATTGTATTTGTGCTATAGAATAGTACCATTTGGTAGAAATACAACATGGCCCTGTAATAGGGTCAGAATCACGGTATACACACAGTTTACGTGCTGAATATATTCTCTGAATAGACTTCTTTGCAAAGGCTGTAAGACTTGTGGAGCTTCAAAGCTATGATATTAAGAACATCAGAGCAAAATTGCCTTATCTCTGGATAAGTTACAATGCTAATCCTTGGAATGCATCTGAAGATACAAATTTTGAAGCATTTTGAAGAAACTTCCAAGTTAATTAATCAAAAGTGCCAGTAAATTTCGAGTATTGTCCCTATTATTTAGTGGTGTGAATTTTGGTATACTGTCACCAAGTTAAAAAATGTTATAAGTAACAATGAGAAATTTTTCTGAAAGAAAGGGAAAAAAAATCTGGTTTGGGAGGTGAAGCAAAGCATCCTTTAGGGAAAAGGCAAAGGGTGACAATTACAGAAATGATGATTCATTAAGATGTGTCATTTCAATTATAATAAAATAAGTGAATCAAACAGGAAATGCCCTTTTTTTTTTTTTTTTTGCCTGATGAGCAGAGAGGTTTAAAAGTGTAGTGTTTGGCACTGCTGAGGGTAATCGGAGGTGGGTACTCCGGGTGCGTTTCCTTGTTGGGGAGGACAAATTAATAAATACAACCTCTTCGAAAAAGAGGCATCACATTTCCATGAATCAGTCATAATAATGCAAGATGCAAAGATTTATGTATGAGGATATTCATCCTAATATTATTTGTTAAATAATGAGATCTACATGCCACAGAAAAAAAATCTGATATGTGCATTTAGGGATATAGTTCAGTGAGAAAACGATGATACAAAAACACTTCGTCAATTTCAAGCCTTAAAATTTTCATATAACAGTTAAATAAACATAATTTGAAAGAAAACCAGGCCCCAGTGATCTCCATTTTTCACCAGTTGTGTGCCTTGGACAAGACACTCAGACTTGGGAGGCTTTTCTACCTTTTTTTGAGTCTCGTCCTCTGTATAGTGGTGATAGTACTTCCTAATGGGTTTGTCGTGATGATTAAATGGGATAACTTCTCTAGAAAGATACCAAGCCTTTGAGCAGGGCTCAGTGTTCCTTCCCTTCTTTGGTGGGCTTCTCAAGCCTCCCTGCTCCTGCCCCTCGGCCTCTAAAAACACCACAAACTTGAAATCAAAACTGCGCGCGTCGGGTGGGGCTCGGATGACATCATAAGCTCTGAAAGGATGCACTTCAGGGCTATAGCTGGTCTAGTAAAGCCAGCCGCGGCCGAGCGCACGCGCAGACCGTGAGATCCGCCCAACATGCTCTCCCATTGCACTTCCCACGCCCAGTGCGCAGCTCCTGCTTGGGCGGAGACAGACCCGCGAGGTAGTCCGCTGTGGCGGAGGGGCGGGGATGAGGCGGGGCTTCGTGAGGAATGATGGGAAGCCGCACCAATCGCATGGCTGCTCCGCCTCGGAGCTCAATTTGAAATTCCGCGGGGCCCAACGGCTCGCGGAGCTGCTACCCACAGCGAGAACTTCGGTGTGTGTTGCTGGTTGCTGCGCTCGTACCCGCGTGAAGGAGGTCGGGGGTCTCGATTCCCTGGGACTGCTTGGAGCGTCCGCCATGAGAAGAAGGTGCGAGTCGAGATGTGGTGGGAGGGAGCGACGCCTGTCCCGGGTACTGGGCTGGTGCGGTGTCCGAGAGGCCCCTCGGCTGGGACTAGGGTGTCCGGTCAACCCGCGGCTAGCGGGTGCACGTTCGAGCCTGACGCGCTGCTCTGAGGTCCCGCAGCCTCACCCCTGTGTCGTGTATGAGCGCGGCGTCGGAGCCGCTGAGCTGGGGCTGAGGCTGGAGGCAGGAGCCCGCCCCGCAGCGCCTCAGGTGCAGCTCCTTCGCACTGAAGGCCGCCTCAAAACCTCGGTCTGTGGCTTCACATTTCTTAAAGTCGTGAAGTTTTAAAAACATCTTTTGCTTTCTGTTGTATCCGCCCTGCGGTGTTAACGCTTTACTTATTTGGAAAGACGGCTTAGTTTCCTTGCAAATTAAAGAACTGATGATGGAATTCTCTTATGGTCGTTTTAACAGCTTCCGCAGCGTTGCTGGGGAGGGAGTGTCCAGTTTGAGATCCGATTAGACGTGTGAAATTGGGCAAGAGGTCGAATGCATTTTCCCGATTCTAAAATAAGAACAATATCTGTGTAGGAGTTGTGTGTTTAAATCATACAGATGTTTACATTCGGAAAGTAGTGGATTAAGTATTGTGCGTATTCCGTATTAAATAATTTGTAGTTAATTGGTTAAACTGATTACACTAAGGTTCTTGGTTCCATGATTACTAATTCTGATCAGGCTTTTCCAAATGCTTGTCCTCAGGGGAATAGGAATTAAGGAATTAAGTTTACATCATTAATACCCTTGCCAAAACAAACTTAGTATTATAAGGTTGTGGATTGCAAATAACTTTTTAACCCACCTATTGGTGCTGGGAATATCAAACCCGGGGTTTCCAGCATGCTAAGCAAGCACTCTACCACCGAGATACGTCCTAGTTCCACAAATAATCTTATTATCTAAAGGAAATTATCTTAAAACTGCTGTGCATTTAATCTAATGGTGCATTCTGAGGACTAGTAAAATTTTAAATAGCATTTAAAGGAAAATCTTTTATTCACAGTTCATTATGGATAGCTCAGGTATCTTCTGTATTCAAGTGATTGAATGAAGGTAGAAAAAAAAAGTTCCCCTTGAATGGTTATAATTAGATTTTTTAAAGGCCGCTAGGATTCCTCTAACCCAAAGCTAGGTTTTGGGGGTACTTTTGAATTTCAGGTATTCATTTTTGGAAAGGGATGTGAGAAATAGGCCTCAGAAACAATGAGTGTCAGATTTTCACTGAATTAACTATGATTATGGATCCTGAAACAGGTTGTACAGAAGTTTTCACAGACCTTTTCCAGAGTCTACCACTGTCCAGGGGGAAAAACAAGGAAGTAACTCAGTGAAGGTTGACTGAAAGTAGGCAATCATGTAGAGAGGAATACTTGAAATCTTTTCCAGTCTAGTGACTTAGGTTCAAGAGACTGGAAAAAATGGTTCTTTTTACAACTTTTGTGTCCTTGTGTATTTTTTGTTCACTTTCAGTTATTTAGTGATGTATTCTAAGAAAAAAAAAATAGATTTGCTCCTTTTAGGGAACCATTTAGCAAGGATCACAATGATAGCTCTGAAGCATCTTCAAGTCATACAACTTTTTAAAATCTACAGGTTATTCTTTCAGAATACTTCTTGAATGTATATTATGTACAAAGTACAATTCAAATATTGGGGATAGTGTGGCAAAAAAAAAAAAAAAACCTGACATCCTTGCCCTCGTAGGAGTTACATTCTGAAAAGAAAGGTAATAAACAGCTAGTGTGGTAACACAGGCCTTTAATCCCAGCAGCTGGAAGACTGAGGGCTGAAGCAGGAGGATGGCAAGTTTGAGGCAAGTCACAGCAATTTAGGGAGACCCTAACTCAAAACAGCAACACCAAAAAAAGGAGTGAGAATGTAGCTCAGTGGTAAAGCACCCCAGGGCTCAATCCATTGTACAGACTCTCAAAAAGGGTTGGGGGATGTGGTTCAGGGCTCAGGGGTTGAATGCCCCTGGGTTCCATCTCTGGTCCGAAAAAAGAAAGCATAGGAAGAAGTAGTTGCAGCTTGGTCACGGAAAGGCCTCCTAAGAAGGTGATCTTTGAGTAAAGACCTAAAATGAGGAACCAAGCTGTGCAGCATCTGAGGGAAGAGGGGTCCAGGTAGAGGGAACTGTAAACACAAATGCCCTTATGCGGTATAATATGGGGTGTTCCAGAGAGCAAGAAGGCCACTGTGACTAAAGTAGATAGTCAGTGCTGGTGTCAGAAGGTAAAATGAATATCAAATGGAATTGGGTTCCTTGGGCTTCTGGAAAGGCCAAGTCTTTAACTTGAGTGGGATGAGAAGTCCCTGGAGGGTTCTGAATGGAACCCTGTGCTCCACCTGTACTGACTGGAAACTTAAGGAGGCTTTGGCTCAAATTGGAAGCCCAGTTAAGAGCCCATTGACATACAGGTAAGAGATGATAGATGGTGACCTGCACCCATGTGGTAGGAGAGGAGAGCTAAGGAAGGTGAGATTTGGCTCTTTTGAAGGCAGTGTGAATGGCAACACACTGAAATATAAGAAAGGTGCCAAGTAATGCAAATGAAAAGAAAAAATTGGTACAATTTAAATGTTGAGAAGAGAGGAAAACATTTTATTTTGTATTGCTAGGGTTCAAACCCAGGGCTTGGTATGTTATTTTTTTAATTCTTAATTCTTTGAAATTTGTACTGTCATGTGAACTGTCCTAACAAGGATCTTTAGAAATTTCAAACACCTACTTCCATCAGACCAAATAAAATTTGTTATATATTATAAACTTGAAGGAGTAGTTAAATTTATAACAAATTGTGTGAATATTGCTTTTAGTTAGGCTGCTGAAGTCTAGCAGATAGATTGCTATTTGCTGTATAGATTTTTGTTTGTTTGTTTGTTTTGTTTTGTTTTTTGGTACTGGGAATGGAACCAACTTCATCAAGTGCTCTACCACTGAGCTATATACCCCAGCCCTTTAGATTTTATTTTGAAATCGGGTGTGGTAGTACATGCCTGTAATGCCAGCAGCTTGGGAGGCTGAGGCAGGAGGATCACAAATTCAAAGCCAGCCTTAGCAACTAGTGAGACCCTGTCTCTAATAGTTAAAATATAAGAAAGGGGCTGGGGATGTGGCTCAATGGTTAAGTGTCCCTGGGTTAAATCCCTAGTACCAATTTTTTTTTTTTTTTTTGAGACAGGGTCTCTCATTAAGTGGCTGAGGCTGACCTCAAACTTTCAATCCTCCTGCCTCAGCCTCCCAAGTAGCTGGGAGCATGCACAACCAAGGTGGCTTATCTTGGTTTTAATTGGATTTGAGACCCACAATTAATGTCCCAATCTCATGTGATTTTACTTTATAAAAGTAACTTGTATGACTAATTAGCAAAGATTTTTAAGTTTTTCAAAGAAATCACTAAATCAAAATCAGATTATATGTCAGATGTTTTGAATAACAGCTCTGATATCATATACTGTCCCGACCAACAGGACACATCAACGTGGGCATAGTGAGCACAAGCCTTTTTAAGTTTTTCAAGAAAACGCAGGCTTAATTTTTTGTAGACACTCTGGGTTCCTTCCTGCCTTGGGGTGAACTCCTCATCCTCTGAGTCCTGATCTTCCTCGTGCCATTCCCCCGCTTCCTCCTCTTGATCCTCTTCTTTGTCCTCAGCCTGGGTGGGCTTATCTATCTGACTGCAGGTGATTGGGAAGGCGAGAACAGGCCTATGGCACGGCTTAGCCTTTGTATTAGACCACCTTGGGCCAGCTCGGGTTGACTCCGTGCCTAAGGCTAATGAGCGAAGCTCAGAGTCAAGGGATCTTAATTCTTTTAAAAGTTGGATCTGTTCCCGTCTATGTTGGAGAGACTCTCGCAAGGGAGCCAGGTTAGGTAAGGGAAGTGGAGAAAAAATATCTGAGGGGGCAGTTGGCCCCTGAAGGGCCGGAGCACAAAAGGCAGGAGGGATATAGGAGGGAGGTGGATGTGTAAGTCCTATAGGCTGTATCAGGGTCCTGAGAGGTGGCGGGTCTTCTGAATGGTAGCGAGCTGCTTCCTTCTCCAAGGTAACCTCCTCCCCAGGGGTCAATATGTCTCCGGCATTTAAAACTGGATAAAGGCAGTTGGTAACCTTTGGAGCCTTATTCATTAGGGTGGGATTTTGAGGGGGACCAGGAAGGTTCCCAGGGTCCTAGGGAGACTGAGAAGTATCTATGTCTATACTAACTGAAGGGCATGCCGAGGGGGGACGAGAGGTCTTTTGCATAGCCTCTTCCCCAATCCTGACAAGTTTTAAGGTACCATTGTCAAAGGGTGAACTTTTAAGAATTTCATTAATTAAGTTCCAGTAAGAAAAGGTGGGAACAGGCACCTTTTCTGGGCCAAAGGATTCATAATAATCTTTTAAACAGTCTCCTACTCTAAGCCATCTTTTACCATCAATGGTCCCTTCAAGGGGAAACCATGGACACAATTCTCCTATGTATGAAAAGAATAATTTTAAGTCCTTTTTCTTAACATGCGCCCCTCGTGTCTTGAGGGCCTCCTTGAGGCCTGACAAAAACAAATCATGTGAAACTGCTTGTCCCATGGTGGGTCACTCACCTTGCGTCGTCCTCACTCTCCTCCTGGATCTGTCTCTGGATCTCGAGCTCCGCTTGGCCAAGTCTTCCTGGAGGACGGCGTTCCTTCTCAGTCAAAGGCTCGCGCCCCACATTGGGCGCCAAATGTCCCGTCCGGCAGGACACATCATGTGAAATTTTCTTTTCCATATTTGCAACTCCCTTCTCTGATAGTGAGAAACTCAGCACCCACTATTTTCGATAAATGATTTGATGATTCTCCCCATATGCTGTCACCCCTCTGCTACGTGTATGCGTCCCATCTGGCAGGACACATCAACGTGGGCAGCGAACCTAGATGGGCAGGAATGAAGGGACAAGAGACACGAAAGGATGACAGCAAGACAGGAGTTCTGATCAAGCTGCAAACTTTTATTGTTCACACAGGGGTATTTATATGCTGGGGATGGGGAAGCTCTCTAATCAGCAATTGCTGGATGTGGGTGGTAAAACTGCCAGCTGCAAGATGTCTGATGATCCTGATAACCGCAGGATGTTCCAGGGAGATAGGTAGCTGCAGGATGTCTCCCAGGGGGCTGTCAGGCTATTCTTTGAAGGAGAATTTCCTTCTAGTCCCTGACAATATACCACATAATTTACCTTCATGAAGTATACAGTGATTCTTAGAATATTCAGAGTTGTGTAATTATCACCGCAGTTTTAGAATATTTTCAGCATTCTTCCAAAACCCCATTAGTGGTCAATCATCTTTTTAGCCTATGGTCTACATATTCACAACTATTTTTTCTATTCTGAGTAATTCACACAAAGGAGTCATTCACACAAATGAATCGTAAATATGTGGTCCTTAGTGACTTGCTTCCTTTAAGATAATGTTTTCAAAGTGTATTGCCTGGTAATATTCCAGTGTAAATACATTACATGTTATTTACCCATTTGTGGTGTTTTCACTTTTTGGCTATTATAAGTAATGCTGCTATAAACATTCCTGAACAAGTTTTTGTATGGTCATCTTTCTAATTCTCTTGGGTAAATATCTAGTAATGGATATTGGGGTTGCATGATAACAATGTTTAAATGTTTAGAACCTGACAGACCCGTTTTTGAAGAGCTGTATCATCTTGCTTTCCCATAAGCAGTGTATGAGGGTTCCAGTTTCTCACCAATACTTAATATTTGTCTTAAATATAGGAATCTTGGTGGCTATGCCATGGTATCTCATTGTGGCTTTGATTTGCAATTCCCTAATAACTAACATTGTTGAGCATCTTTTTGTGTGTTTATTGGCAATGGTATATCTTTGGAGAAATGACTTCTCAAATTCTTTGCCTGTTGTACTGGATTTTCTACTGTTCGGGGGGAAAAAATGATCACTTTTTACTTTCATTACAAGATCTTGCCTATAAACCTGATTGTCAGGATCTGAAAGTGCATTAATTCTGATGGATCTGGAATCTTTGATAGGAATTCAAAGCCATTTGTTTTACATTTATCAAACAACTTCTATGTATTAGGGTCTGGTAAAATGAAGATGGTAAAGACATGGTGGTCCCTGTCTTTATTTATGACAAGTTCATAGCTTTCCAGAGGACACTGTGGCAGATGAAAGGAGCCAAGTGTGCAAACCATGAGGGTTACATTCATATCAAATATTGACCACAGATTAGATCTTGAGAGTTATTTATAGTAGGATCTTGACTTGTTTCTCCTTGTTTTTGAAGTAAAGTGTGAAGAGTCTTTGCCTGGGGAAGTTCTTTAGCTGCACTTTAGTTCACTGAGATCATATTAAATAAATGCTTTATTACCTGCTAACATTTCTAAAATAAAAGAAGCACAGTAAATTCTTTGAAGCACTAGATTATATCAGGTTATTGATACTGGCTGTCTGGTATAGGCAACTGGTATTTGTGTAGAATTTTCTTCAGGAACAGTCAACTTTAAAATGGGATTTCGTGGCTAGAGAAATGTCTGAAGGTTTTTGTGAATGTTCCCAGGTTCTAGATCTAGGCTAGTGGATCAGAGCACATCTAGTGTCTAGTTTCTCTGGTGCCCAGGCAGTCTTTGTTATCCTGTTGTATCTAAAGGAAAGACCTCTCTGTTCTTTAAATATTTTGTAAAACAGACAAATGGTTATAATTTTTAAAGATAAAATACAGGATGCCAGTTAAATACATATTTGGGATAAACAATTTTTTGGTTAAAGTAAACTTTTGTAATAGAAGAATAGTATGCATGTAGAAATGTTAACGAAGTTAATACACCTGTGTGAGTATCACAGAAGCCTTCTTTGTGGCCTCTCCCAATCATTCCTTCTTTAGAACCAAGGGGACCACTCTCCTGATTCCTGAGAGCATAGGTTAGTTTTGCCTCGTTTTGAACTGCATCCCTCCTTGGTGCTGGGGATTAAGCCTAGGGATTTGTGCATGCTAGGCAGGCCCTCTACCATTGAGCTACACCTTGGGCCCCAGGTTTTGAACTTTATATTGATGGCAATCACACAGTGATACATGCTTGCTTGTCTGGTTTCTTTGTTCATCCTAATTTTTCCCCTCCCCTATGTCTTTTTTCTTTTAATACCTTTGTTTTATTTATTCATTTTTATGTGGTGCTGAGAATCTAATCCAGTGCCTCACACATGCCAGGCAAATGCTGTACCACTGAACCACATCCCCAGCCTCTCATTCTTTTTTTTTAAATTTTTTTAGTTTGAGACAGGGTTTTGTTGTTGTTGTTTTGTAGATTCCTTAGGACTTTAAATAAAACACCACCATCTGACAATAGATTGTGTTATGACTTTCTTACTGATCTTTATTTCTTTTATTCCTTTTTTTTGGAGGGGGGGCTTATTTAGATGTCTAATACTTCCGGTAAGATGTGGTTAAAGTAGGCATCTTTGTCTTGTTCTTGACATTAGATAAATCACAATTTTACCATTATGTTAGCTGTATTTTTTTATTTATATATAACGGCGGAATGCATTACAATTCTTATTACATATATAGAACACAATTTTTCATACCTCTGGTCGTATACATAGTATATTCACACCAATTCGTGTCTAAGTTGCCCAGTCTGGTCTCCATCCTGTGGTTATCCCGCTTCTATAGTCATGTTCCACTGTGCCCAATCAGAGATGCTTAACCACTAAGTCACATCTCTAGCTCTTTTTGTTTTTGGACAGGATCTTGCTAAGTTACTCAGGAACCTGCTGAGGCTGGCTTTGAACTCATGATCCTCCTGTCTCAGCCTCCCAAATTGATGGGATTACAAGTGTGTGCCATTGTACCTAGCTTCCTAAGTTTTTCTTATGGTTTATCTATTTTTCTAAAGATTTACAGTATAATTTACACATAATAAACCTAACTCATTTGACATGTTCAGTTTTAATTGTATACTATTATATATTTTCCATCAAGGTCTAGAACCATTTAATCACCCCAAAAAGTTTCTATTGCTCTTTTGCAGTTGATCTTCCCTGATCTCAAGAAATTAATTTGCTTTTTCAGTAAAGTTGTTTGTTTTTTGTACTGCTGGTTGAACTCAGGGAGCGCTGAGCCACTGAGATACACCTACACCCCAGCCCTTTTTTAAAATTTATTTTATTTTATTTTTAGTTGTTGATGGGCCTTTATTTTATTCATTTATTTATATGTGGTATTGAGAATCGAACCCAGTGCTTCATGTATGTGAGGCAAATGCTCTACCACTGAGCCACAACCCCAGCCCTAATTTTTTGAGACTGGATCTGGCTGTTGCTGAGGCTGGCCTCAGAATTTGGGATCTTCTAGCCTTCTGAGTCATTTTAGGTGTGTGCCACCCTGCCTGGTTCTTTTACTAAATTTTTATCTCTCCTAGAATGTTATAAAATGGAATCATTATGATATGTAGGGTTTGACTTTTTTCATTTAGCATAATTAAATGTTTTAGTTTTATTAATGTTGCATGTACCTTGCTCCTTTTCCTTTTCATTACTGGGGATTGAACCCAGGGGTACTCTACTACTAAGCTATGTCCTAACCTCTTTTTATTTTTATTTTTTTTATTTTGAGACAGTGTCTTGCTAAGTTCCCAGACTGGCCTTGAATTGTGAACCTCTTGCCTCAGCCTTCTGATTCTCTGGGATTATGTGTGGCTTGTGTTCAGTTTTTTGTTGTTTATTTTTGGTACCTGGGATTTAGCCCAGGAGTGCTTTATTACTGAGCTACATCCCCAGTCCTTTTTATTTTTTATTTTTATTGTGAGACAGAGTCTAAGTTAGGGCCTTGAAAATCGCTGAGACTGGCCTCAAACTTGTGATCTTCCTGCCTTAGCCTCCCAAGTTGCTGGGATGATAGTTGCTAGGATGATTGCACCACCACAGTGAGTTCAATTTTAATAGATGTTGCTAATATATATTAACATGGTTGTACTGATTTATACACTTTACTAGCAATGTATGAAAGTTCAGCTTTTCTACATCTTTACCAACATTGATATTCATCTTAGTAATTTTAGCCACTTTGGGTTACTAGTTGTAATTTGAGAATAAGATCAGGCTCGGCGTGGTGATGCACTCAGTAATCCTAGCTACTCAGGAGGCTGAGGCAGAAGGATCACAAGTTTGAGGCCAGTCTCAGCAACTTAGTTATATTCTGTTTAAAATTAAAGAGTTGAGGGGCTGGGGCTGGGGTTGAGGCTCAGTGGTAGAGCACTTGCCTAACATGTGAGGTACTGGATTTGATTCTCAGCACCACGTATAAATAAATGAATAAAATAAAGGTCCATCAACATCTTAAAAAAAATAAAAATAAAAAATAAGGGGCTGGGAATGTAGGTCAGAGTATTTGCCTGTCATATATGCAAGGCCTTGAATTTGCCTTGTACCTCGAAAAAATAATAATAATAATTAATCACTTGCTTCTTAACAGCAAGCTCATGTTAGTTTATTTTGCTGACATTTTGCCTAATTTTTCTTTAATAAAAGCATTTGTGATTATTATACTGTTAAAAGTAGAATCATCAATGAAAACCCAGATTCTGAGTACCATTCAAGGAGTGAATTTCCATGATGGGGATTGTGATATTGCATTTTGTTTGGCTTGTACGGGGGGAGAAGGAAAAAGGAATAGTCAGAGGTGAATTAAGCTAAATTCAGCTTTAAAGCTGCTGAAAAGATAGTCTATTTAGTTCCTGACAATACTACTTTTAGTCTGTAGGCAAAGATTGATGCAACAGGTGAGTTTGTTTTGTTTTGTTTTTCAGTGAGGTACTCGCAGAGGAGTCCATTGTATGTCTCCAGAAAGCCCTAAATCACCTTCGGGAAATATGGGAATTGATCGGGATTCCAGAGGACCAGAGGTTACAAAGAACTGAGGTTGTAAAGAAGCATATCAAGGTGAGTTGAGTAATACTGGTGTCAGGCATAAGGATGCTGGTGTCTCATCTGAGAAATATGATCACCTACACTAGGATATTATAAGCTTTTCCTGTTTTGTTCTTAGGCTTTTCCTGTTTTTGTTTGTTTGTTAAGCCTTTTCTTGATATTTTGTATTATGAACATTTTGGTGTTGGGGTTTTCTTCTGTAAACTTATATGGATTATTTTCTCTTTTATAGGATCTTCTGGATATGATGATTGCTGAAGAAGAGAGCCTGAAGGAAAGGCTTATCAAAAGCATATCCATCTGCCAAAAAGAGTTGAACACCCTGTGCAGTGAGTTACATGTTGAGCCATTTCAGGTACATGGCAGTTTGGAGGTATCCAGCTTGGGTTTGAGATTTAGGAAGAAGCAATGACTTTGGACTACAGACAGAAGACTTCCTTATAGGGTTTTTACTGGAAAAATGGGGAGAGCATGGTACTTGGCCAATTAGTTCTGTAAAGTGATTTTTTTTATTTATGTAGAGAACATAAATAAAAAAGAAATGGAACAACTAATAGGTGATCAGAACTAAGCTTCTTGGGGCTAGGGCTGTAACTCAGTGGCAAAGCCTTGCCTTGCACTTGTGAGGCACTGAGTTCAATCCTCAGCGCGCGCGCTCTCTCTCTCTCTCTCTCTCTCATATATATATATTTGTTCATCTACAACTAAAAAAATATACAAAAATTTTAAAAAAGAAGGCTGGGGTTGTGGCTCAGCGGTAGAGCGCTCGCCTAGCACGTGCGAGGCCCCGGGTTCGATCCTCAGCACCACATAAAAATAAAAGAAAATTTTAAAAAAAGAAAATCACCAATCCTCAACATACAAAATTATTTAAAAAAAAATAATAATAAATAAATTAAAATTAAAAAAGAAAGAAGATTCTTGCTGTAGTTCTGCTTTGTAGAGCATATTAATTTTTTTAAAAATTGACTTGGAGAAAAAGGTAGGCACAGATAATATTATGCTATTCTTTCTCTGAGAGAAAATGAAAAGAGGTACCTAGGAAGCAAAAGTAACTAGTGATAAAAGGAAAAGTTACCCCAAAATTCAACCTTTGTGGTTCTTTTCCTACTCCAAAGTTGTATGCCACTGAATCAGCCAGAGGGCTCCCTCAGAAGAAATGTCTCAAAAGCCAGGAGAACATATCTAGCTCAGCAGGCCATGATTATCAGTGTAGGTAGCTGAGAGATAACTGTATGTGGTCCAACATAAGTCAGGGATTTGAGTGAGGATATCAGGAGACAGGGTGCTGAAACAGCTCTGCTTAGAACTAGTGAAAACAGTGTTAGAATTGTGAAAGAACAGGTGGAGCTTGGCTAGGTAAAGATGTACTAATAAGGTTTCCTGGTCCCTCTTGCTGTTACAGGAAGAACTGCCTGTGTGTTTAGTCTGTTTTTTGAACTTTTAATGTGAAATTGGGTGAAAAGTTAGGTATATAGTGGCATTCTCCCTGAAATTATATGACAGTTCCTATTTTACTAATGTTAAATGAAGTTGTGTAAGTTTATAGAACATATAACTCCCCCTTCTCCTTTTGTCAGTTAAGAGTAACGCAGGGACCACTAAATTTATTTTTATTGGTAAGGTGATATTCATGAGATTATTAAGGTTTTGTTTTGTTTTGTTTTTGAGGTAGGTGCTGGGGATTGAATCCAGGAGTGCTTTACCACTGAGCTACATTCCCAGTACTTCTTATTTTAACACATGGTCTCAATAAGTTGCTGAGGCTGGCCTTGTACTTGCGATTCCCATTTCTTAGCCTCCTGAGTAGCAGTGATATAGGCACCATGCTCATTGAAGCTAGATATAGATACCTTCTTGCTAACTCAAAGCCAGCTTTTCAACCAATATATGTTTCTTGCAAAAGTGCTATGGTATCTAAAGAAGTCAAATTCATAGAGACACAAAGTATAATGGTGGTTGTGATGAGCTGGGGGTGGAGGCAGAGAATGAAGACTTTTTATTAAATACAGTTTCAGTTTTACAAGATTAAGTAACTTCTGGAAGTGGATGAAGGTGATGGTTATAGAACAGTATGAGTGTACAGATGCTCCTCAACTTAAAATAGGGTTACATGCAATAAATCTATTATAAGTAAAAAATGCATGCTATCAGACTAAACCTGCTGAATAAAGTTTAGCCTAGTTTACCTTACACTTGTGCTCAGAACACTTACATAGCCTGGAGTTGGGCAAAATAATCTAACATAGCCAGGCGTGGTGGCGCAACCTATAATCCCAGTTACTGAGGTTGGAGGATCCAAATTGAAGGCCAACCTCAGCAATTTAGTGAGACACTATCTCAAAATCAAAGGGATAGAGAAGTGTAGTTCATTGGTTAAAGCACCAGGGGGTAGGGGGAATTAAGCCTGGTAATCCTAGCACCTTTAATCCCAGCGGTTTGGCAGGCTGAGGCAGGAGGATCTCAAGTTCAAAGCCAGCCTCAGCAACTTAGTGAGACCATGTATGAAAATAAAAAAGGGCAAGGGATGTGGCTCAATGACTGAATGTCTTTGGGTTCAATCCCTAGTACCCCCTGCCAAAAAAAAAAGAGAGAGACAGAAACTGTTAAGTTGGTGACTATCTGTACTTAATCCAAAAAAATTTTTTAAAACATTTTTTTAGTTGTCAATTGACCTTTATTTTTATAAAAAGTGACCTGGTATCTATTAACCTTTCCTCATTTGGGACCTTCCTTAGGAGTTCTTCTTTGTGCCATATTCTATTGGTTATGAGTTGATTTATTTGTAAATTTAACTGAAAGTCTATCAATTCTCTTCCACTGTCCTTCTCAAGTGATTCCTGTGAAAGAATTACTTGAAACCTTGTAACATTGGTATACTGTCTTATACAGGAAGAAGGAGAAACAACTATCTTGCAACTAGAAAAAGATTTGCGCACTCAGGTAGAATTGATGCGAAAACAGAAAAAGGAGAGAAAACAGGAACTGAAGCTACTTCAAGAACAAGATCAAGAATTGTGTGAAATTCTTTGCATGCCCCACTATGACATTGATAATACTTCTGTTCCCACTTTAGAAGAACTGAACCAGTTCAGACAACATGTGGCAACACTGAGGGAAACAAAGGTACACTACCTGCATTTATACTTCCCAAAAGTCCTTCTGGCCTTCCTATAGGTTACTTTTAATTATTATTTTTTTTAATAGGCATCTAGGCGTGAAGAGTTTGTCAACATAAAGAGACAGATCATACTGTGTATGGAAGAATTAGATCACACACCGGACACAAGCTTTGAAAGAGATGTGGTGTGTGAAGATGAAGATGCCTTTTGTTTGTCTTTGGAGAATATTGCAACACTACAAAAGTTGCTGCGGCAGGTAATATCTTCTCAAATTAAGACCCTGGATCTCAATAGTGTGTAGCACCTTGAAAAAACTGGCAGCTTTTCCTTCTGTCTTAAATAAGTGCCAATGTACATTAAGAGAGTAAGGGAGAATAAAAATAGTAACTTAGGATATATGATCTCGGTTTTATTTTTTTGGTACTAAGGATTGAACCCTGAGGGTCTCAAAAATGCTAGGCAAGTGCTCTACCACTGGGCTCTACCCCAAGCCCTGATTTTTTTCTTTTTTAAAAAAATATAAACCTTGGGGCTGGGGTTGTAGCTCAGTGGTAGAACGCTTGCCTCACACATGTGATGCCCTGGGTTCGATCTTCAGCACCACTTAAAAATAAATAAATAAAGATATTGTGTCCATCTACAACTAAAAAAGAATTAAAAAAAAAAAACACCTTAATTTATAAGTAAATAAGAGATAAAATATTCTAAGAATATGAAATTACAATCAGATGAAATGACATCCATTTGATATACATAGTTGTTTTTTAAATAACTATTTTTATATTTATTTATTTATTCATTCATTTATTTTGATGATATGGGGGATTGAACTCAGGGCTTCAAGCTTGATAGGTGAGCGCTGTACCACTGAGCTGTAATCCCCAGCCCCAAGCATACTGTTTGATTGAAAAAAACTTTCAATTCAACATTGGAATCCTGTTCTTGAGGTCTGAGATCCTCCCATAGTGACAGCTTTACATCTTATGTTCAGAATGCATCAAAAAATTTCTCTTGGGAAGCCAGGCACAGTGGTGCACACCTATAATTCCAGCAGCTCAGGAGGCTGAGGTAGGAAATTGCGAGTTCAAAGCCAACTTCAGCAAAAGCCAGGTACTAAGCAGCTCAGTGAGACCCTGTCTCTAAATAAAATACAAAATAGGGCTGGGGATGTGGCTCAGTGGCTGAGTGCCCCTGAGTTCAATCCCAGGTACCAAAAAAAAAAAAAAAAGGGAATCACAGTATAAATGCTTCTTCTTCATTTGGGTCCAGACATTCCTTGCTGCAGAGGACTAGCCTTTTGTGTGTTACTATTTTGCTTTAACCACAGCCTTTCCTTGATACAGCTGGAAATGCAAAAATCACAAAATGAAGCAGTGTGTGAGGGACTTCGTGCTCAAATCCGGGAACTCTGGGACAGGTTGCAGATACCTGAAGAAGAGAGAGAAGCTGTGGCAATGGTTATGACTGGGTCAAAAGCCAAGGTCAGGAAAGCGGTAAGAAACTGAATGGGTGCTGGGTAAGCAGTCTTCTGTGAGTCTTCCTGAGTCTAGTCCAACATCCTTACCTATTTCTCCCTTGGGCCTACCTACTCTTAAAAGTGTCAGAAAAGGGGGAAATGGCCTGCTTATCTTCTATCTTCTGTATTCTGGCTCCTATAATATGATTGTTACAGAGTATTATGTGTTATAATTTTATTTTAAAAGGCAAAATACCAAGCACTGAGGGTACGTCTATAATCCTAGTGACTTAGGAAGTTGAGGCAGGAGGATCACAAGTTTGAGGCCAGCTTCTGCAACTTAGTGAGACCTGTCTCAAAAAATAAGAAGGGCTGGGAATGTAACAGTGGTAAAGCATATCTGGGTTCAATCCCCAGTACCCTAAAGGAAACAAAAACAACTAAAAAGGGGGAACTTTTAATCTAAGTGAATATGAAAGTATGGTGAATACCTTTAATATGTCTTTTTCTTTCAGCTGCAATTAGAAGTGGATCGGCTCGAAGAACTGAAAATGCAAAACATGAAGAAAGTGATTGAGGCAATTCGAGTAGAGCTGGCTCAGTATTGGGACCAGTGTTTTTATAGCCAGGAGCAGAGACGAGCTTTTGCCCCTTACTATGCTGGTTAGTACAGCAGTGAATTTCATGTGGTCTACTCACTGCTCTTTTATAAACCCAGACACTCACCAGGAAGCCTCTATTTCCTTATCTGAATAGATACAGCCAATTCTTAACTATATTATCTCACATAATCTTCATGTCGGGAGATGAGGACAGTAAGGGACATAAATGTTGATCAGCTTAACTCAGAGGCATATAGCAGGTAAATGCATTAGCCTATTTGAGCCTAGAGGAGTCTGACTCCTAGAGCCCAGTGGAATTCCAGGCTGAACTGAACATAAAATGAAGCTGTTCTAACTAAATTCAGCAAGTTTTTAGACAGTTTTGTGACCTGATCCTCTATTGTCTGGATAAGGCAGAGAGAAGAATACAAAAGAAACTAAGACAAAGCAAAAGATAACACAGATTTTGGAGAATACCCTTGGAGACTACTCTTTGTCCATACCCTAGGTACTTAGTCCCCTCAGGCTAATTATGACAAACATATTATTTTATTGATGGTTTATTTTTTCAGTACTGGGGATTGAACCCAGAGGGGCTTTAACACTGAGCTACATCCCATCCCTTTTAAAATTTGTTTTGAGACCAAGGTCTCACTAAGTTGCCTAAGCTGACCTCAAACTTAATATTCTTCTACCTCAGGCTCCTGGGTTGCTGGGATTATAGGCACGCACCACCATGCCCAGCTTTTTATGTTTTTTCTCTTCCGTTGTGCATGGAATGAAACCCAGGGCCTCATGCATGCTAGGTAAATGCCTAGCACTACACCCCCAGTCCTGGCTTTTATTTTTTATTAGCCACTTACTCCTATATTATAAAATATATATATATATATATACACATATACATATATACACACACACACACACACACACACACACACCCCTATTTCCATTTTAGGGAAGTTGTGGATAGTAAATTGGGATATTAGACTAATTTTTTAAAAAAATTTTTAGTTGAAGATGAATATAATACCTTTATTTATTTTTATGTGGTGCTGAGGATCAAACCCAGTTTTTTAGGCAAGGACTTCACCACTGAGCTACAACCCCAGTCCTGAGTAATTTTAATTTTTAACTACTGGGTCTTTATGTTGCAGAGGACTACACAGAAAATCTGCTCCAACTACATGATGCTGAGATTGTGCGGTTAAGAAACTACTATGAAGTTCATAAAGAACTCTTTGAAGGTGTCCAGAAATGGGAAGAGAGCTGGAAGCTTTTCTTAGAGTTTGAGGTATGCCCTATTTGTCTGCTTTTTTTTTTTTTTTTTTAATATTTATTTTTAGGTGTAGATGGGCACAACACAATGCCTTTATTTTTTTATGTGGTGCTGAGGATTGAATTCGGGTCCCGCCCATGCTAGGCGAGCGCTCTACTGCTGAGCCACCATCCCAGCCCCTGTTTTAATTTGGTACTAGGGATTGAACTCAGGAGTGGGCATTCGACCACTGAGCCACATCTCTAGCCATTTTTGTATTTTATTTAGAGACAGGGTCTTGCTGCATTGCTTAGCACCTCACTGTTGCTGAGGTTGGCTTTGAACTTTCAATCCTGCTGCCTCTGCCTCCCAAGCTTCTGGGATTACAGGCATGTGCCATGGTGTCTGGCTACTTGTCTGCTTTCTTAAGAGTGAAATGAAGGGTTGAGAAAACATGCCCTGCATTGGAGATATGGCTCAGTGAGCGAATGCTTGCCTAGCATAGATATGACCCTGGGTTCAATCCCCAGCTTTGGGGGAAAAATAGCAAGCAAGGCCAGTTACCAGGTTTCTAATGTCTTATAAATTAATGGCTTAAAGAAGATAGAAGTTTCTTGCTTGAAGGAAGCCCAGATGTGGATAGAGCAGGCTTCTCCAGCTCTGGGCTCCCCACCACTAAGTGGGGACCTCGTCCTCAGGGCCAAGCTGGTTGCTAGAGCTCCCACCTGAAGGGCCACATTTCGGGCAGCATGGTAGAGAAAGAACAAAGGTGGCATTGCCCTCTTGACCCTGAATTAAGGGCTCCTCCCAGTCTCTCTTCACAGCACTTGTGTTTATGTGCCATACCAGTGGCTGGCAAATTCTGGTTCTGTTACTAAGGAAGTCAACTAACTTCTCTACTATTGCTACTTTTGCTGTTTTCCTAGAAAACTAGATATCAGGATGAATTTGTATTCTCTGAATTCCTTCTCACAGATAGCACAAACAGCATTTTAGAATTCAGGGCTGGGATTGGGGTGAGAGAAATGAAGCACCAACAGCACAAAATTTAAGGAGAAAATTGTTATTAGGTTCATGCTGACTCTATTAGCATTCATAAGGGTCTGTAGACTTTTAAGCTGAACTCTTTCAAGTTTCAAGTTTATAGGCAGGAAGCTAGGACTCAGATGGAGAGAACCTGGCAAGACCTTACAGCCGTTTACGATCAACTAGTCCTTAGATGCTTCTTGCTTCTGGGTGAAAACCAGGAGGAGGAGGAGTGAATATGAACATAGCTAAAGCAGCAGCCTTGTGTAACTCACCACACATGAGAAAAATAAAGGAGTTACTTATGCCATGCTATTGTTGTTAATAAGTTATGACCTGTCAAGCACTCTTGAAGAGAAATAGTTTGGTCTACATATTATTAAGAATGCTTCTAGTTACCTGCACCATTCTTTTAAGTAATTCCCCTGATTTAAAATTTTATTTTTTATTTTTAAATATTTATTTTTTAGTTGTAGTTGGACACAATACCTTTATTTTATTTATTTATTTTTATGTGGTGCTGAGGATCTAACCCAAGGCCTCACACGTGCTAGGCCAGCACTCTACCACTGAGCCACAACCCCAGCCCCTAAAAATTTTAATTTATTTTTTGGTACCGGGGATTGAACTCGGGATTGAACCAGTGAGCCACATCCCCAGCCCTACTTTTATTTAGAGACAGAATCTCACTGAGTTGCTTAGTGCCTCAGTTTTGCTGAGGCTGGCTTTGAACTAGTGATCCTCCTGCCTAAGCCTCCCGAGCTGCTGGGATTACAGGCTTGCACCACTGCCCAGCAGTAATTCCCCCAGTTTATAATGCCTAGTTATATACTCAAAATTATTGTGTATACATTATAAAATAACAAAAGCCAGACATTTAAGAAAAATGAGAAACGTTTTTGTTTTTTTTTTAAACTCGGGGGCAGTCAACCACTGAGGAAATCCCCAGTCCAACTTTGTATTTTATTAGAGACAGGATCTCATTGAGTTGCTTAGTGCCTTGCCATTGCGGAGGTTGGCTTTGGACTTGGGATCCTCCTGTCTCAGCCTCCTGAGCTACTGGGATTACAGGCAAGAAAAGCTTTTTTGTGGGGAGGGCAGTGTTGGAATGTGAACCCAGAGCTTCTCATTTCACACTTATTTACTGAGGCCAAGGATTGAACCCAGGACCTCACGCACTGCCATTGAACTACACCCCAGCCCTCTAAATTTTTGTTTATCTTGTGAAGGTTAATTTAGTGAAACCCAGATTATCTGCAAATTTCCTGGCCATGTGCATTTAAGCTGCATTCTGTGCCAGTATGCTAGAAATACAAGCGCAAGCAGAGGTATCACAACAAGCCCTGAGTTTAGGCCTGCCCATCCCTCCTCACCTTGTATATTAAAATAACATCATCTGACATCCAAACCAAGGAAGGGAACTAGTGGCATTTCTTGCCCACATCTTGCATGGGCTAGCGAATGGGTTTCCCTTGGGTGGTATGGGCTGGCTGAAAAATAAAAGCTAGAATAGCGAAATGACCACAGAACACAGAAAGTAGTTTCAATGAGGGGGTAGACACAGACAAAGCTAACTAGATGGGTCCAGCTTCTAACAAAGAAAGGAGCCCACATTTGCTTTATTTATATTGGAAAACATCAAAGGCTTTCGATAGAAAGTTCTTCACCAAAACAGGATAGAGGTGGGGGCAAGAAGGCTGATCAGTTCCTAGTGGGTTATGCCCATAGGTGCTGCGAGGCACCTTTCTGGTAGAGAAGGGGAGTTCACTCGCTTCAGGTGATCTATTCCCGTGAGTCTGCCATGGGAAGCTCCCAGTGCCAGATCTACCCCCTCATCGGTTGCAATGCTAAAAAAAAAAAAAAGGTCCTCATCATTTCCGGATGGCTTCCTATAGTCATTGTTATATTTATCTGTTATTTTTTAGATTGAAGGAAGCTTGTAGTTTTCCTACCCCCCAGTGGATGATCTTGCATATGCCCAGGAGTGCCCATGGCTTAAAATGCCACCATTTCTAATGGCTAAATGTGGACAAGAATGTGAAACTCTACAGGTCAATTTAATAATATACATTATGTTATGAGGGCTTAGGAGGAGTAATTGGTATGACTATCCTAGGTTATACTATCATTAAATAAAATGTATTTTTCACAGAGAAAAGCTTCAGATCCAAGTCGATTTGTAAACCGAGGAGGAAACCTTCTAAAAGAAGAAAAGCAGCGAGCCAAGCTCCAGAAAACACTCCCTAAGGTAATATTGTTGCTAAGAGTTTTTGGCACTTGGCTCTTGAGATACTTTAATTTTTTGTATGTCCTTTGCTTTGTATTAATTTGCCCCAGAAATGTCTTCTCTTCCAAAGTTTATGCATTGGGCCTTCAGTGTAAGCAAAGGGCCACTGAACACCAAGGTGTAGTCTGCTGGAACCACCAAATTAAAGACTACAAATTAGGTGGCTTATACTACAGAAATTTACTTTCTCACAATTCTTGAAGCCAGTAGTCTGAGATTCAAGATGTCATTGGCAGGGCTGGATTTCTTCTGAGGCCTCTGCTTGTCTTATAGATGGCAGATTCTGATTGGATCTTCACATAACCTTTCCTCTGTGTGTCTTTGTGTCCTAATTACCATCAGTGATTGAATTAGGGCCCACCCTAATGACCTCATTTTAACTCAACTACCTTTTTTTTTTGGTGGTGCTAGGGATTGAACCCAGAGCCTTGTGCTTATGATGCAAGCACTCTACCAACTGAGCTATACGCCCAGCCCTGGACTACTTTTTTTAAAAGACCATCCAGAAACACTTACATTCTGAGGTGTTGGGGGTTAGGACTTCAAAATGAATTTTGGGCAACATTTTAGCCCATAATATAGGCAAGCTTTTGAGAAAGTACTGTGGGCTTTATTTTCTATGTTAATAATAGTAATGTTTCACATTTTTTTTTGAGTTGTTACTATTTCAAGATGTTTTCATTTATTCATATATATGACAATATCCCTTTAGGTTGATATTGTTTTTACAGATAATAAGGGGTAACTTGCCATTTTCACAGCTAGTAAGAGGTAGAGTCCAGACTGAAACCCAGATAATCTGGTTCCATAGTCATGCTTATGCTTATGCTTACATTAATCACTGTCTGGTTAATGTTACTGATTTTACTGATGCTGTTTCCAGCTTCAGGCATCAAAACCTCAGTATTCAGACTATGGGTTCTTGCCTTCTTCTACTTTTCTGTGTGTTGTAAATGAACCATCTCTGGTCACTCTGACCTGAAGCCCCATGGGTCTAGCTCCCTGAAGTTAGAATGCTAATGCTGTGGAAAAGGAAAAAATCATTGGTTTTTTTTTTTGTTTTTTTTTTTTTTTTTGCCCAGTGGTGGTAGCACTGGGGATTGAACCACTGAGCTACCCCAAACCTTTTTCACTTTGAGACAGGATTCTGCTAAGTTGCCTAGGCTCGTCTTGAACTTGAAATCCTCCTGCCTTATTCTTCTGAGTAGCTGGGATTACAGTCATGTGCCATTGCACCCAGCTTAAGTAGTCAATCTTTAAGATAATCGTTTCATTTGGGCTTCAACCCCAAAGATTAAAAGTAACTAACATGTCCTTGTTTCTGGTCTCAGCTGGAAGAAGAGTTGAAGGCACGGATTGAAATGTGGGAACAGGAGCAGTCAAAAACATTTGAGGTGAATGGGCAGAAATTCATGGAGTATGTGGCAGAACAATGGGAGATGCATCGACTGGAGAAAGAGAGAGCCAAGCAGGAAAGAGTAAGTGTACACACAAACTGGGAAAAGAGGAAGATAGTTTATGCATCGTAGCATGTCTGTCAGAGCTCTTAGAAGAATTAGGTAGTCTGTAACAGCTCCTTTTAACTCAGGCTGCAGACCTGGCTCTAGACTTCTAGCCCTGCTTCTGTTCCCATCCTAAAACCACTTCTTACTGGGATTCATCACTGTTGCTTCTGACTTTCATACAGCAACTAAAGAACAAGAAGCAAACAGAGGCAGAGATGCTCTATGGCAGTGCTCCCCGGACACCCAGCAAGCGGCGAGTACTGGCTCCCAACACACCAGGCAAAGTGCGGAAGGTAAATGTGGCTTTTGTGGAGCCCTGCTGGTGAAGGAGTGGGGAGATAGGGTTCTTTGTCCTCTCTCACCCTCTGTACTGCTGAGTTGGAAAAGCAGTTTTCTTCTCCAGGTTGAGTGAATTTGAGAGTAAATGGGTGACTGTAGTTTAATCTTTAGTATTGGTTTATCACAACAGTAAAGGAGTGACCAGCTTTGACGTGTGCCATTTGTTGAGTCCTGGCATTTAACTCCTAGGGACCAATAATTGCTAACATTCTCTGATGATGAAACTTTCAGAAGTTCATCATCCTGTAATTCTACCAGATGCCCACAGTACTGGGTGAAAGACAATTTTCATGCTTAATGAATGAAATTTTTAATATCCCTTAATCTCTAGAACAGGAAGTCAGGGAGTAATCATATTTTACTTTCTTTTTAATAAGACGGATTTTTTGTTTGGTTGGGTTTTTTTCCTTTTTTGGGGGGGAGGGTATGCTGGGAATCGAACCCAGGGCCTTGTGCATGTGAGGCAAGCACTATCAACTGAGCTATATCCCCAGCCCCAAGGTGGTGCATTATTTTTTAAATCATTATAATATAACTACAATAGAACCACTGTAAATATTTGGTGTTCTTTTTGCTCCCACCCACCAATGCTGGAGGCTGAACCCAGGGATTTGAGCATGGTAGGCAACTGTTCCACCCTGGGCTTACATCCTCAGCCTTGTTTTATATGGAGATAGGTTCTTGCTAAGTTGCCCAGACTGGCCTCAAACTTGAGATCTTACCACCTCAGCCTCCTGAGTGGGTGGGATTACAGACTTATGCTACTTTCTATCCTTTAAATATTGATACAAGGTCTTACTCAGTTTTCCCAAGGCTGGCCTCAAACTTGCTATCCTCCTACCACTTTTGGGCTTCAGGTCTGCATTGGCACCATGTCCAGCCTAGTCTTAAATAGTGTATTTTTACATAATAGAGGTCACATTATTTAATTTTGATATTTTTCTTAACCTTTTTCCCTGTTATTCCACCCCCACCCACTACTGGGAATAGAACCTACCCAGAAACACTCTACCACTGAGCTATATCCTCAGTCCACTCCCTACCACCCCTTTTTGAGACTGGATCTCACTGGGTTACCAAGATTGGCTTCAAACTTGCAATCTTTCTGCCACAGCCTCCCAAGTCATTGGGATTTTCTGTGCCCACCTGGGTTATGATATGACTTTTTTTTTTTTTTTTAAAGAGAGAGAGAGAATTTTAATATTTATTTTTTAGTTTTCGGTAGACACAACATCTTTTTGTTTGTACGTGGTGCTGAGGATCGAACCCGGGCCGCACGCATGCCAAGCGAGCACACTACCGCTTGAGCCACATCCCCAGCCCGACTTTTTTTTTTTAAGTATTTGTTTAGTTGTACACATTACTTTTGTTTATTTTATGTAGTGCTGAGGATCAAACCCAGGGTCTCCAACGTGCTAGGCAAGTGCTCTACCACTGAGCCACAACCCCAGCCCCGGGTTATGACTTTTTTTTTTAAAATATTTGTTTTTTAGTTGTAGTTGGACACAATACCTCTATTTTACTTATTTATTTTCATGTGGTGCAGAGGATCGAACTCAGGGTCTCGCCCGTCTGAGGCAAGCACTCTACCGCTGAGCCACAACCCCAGCCCCCGGGTTATGACTTTTTATAGCTTCAAATTATCTTCAGATATACACTCTTTATTACATATATATTCTATCCTCTTAAAAACTATTGTCATTTATTAAATTAGTTCCCTATTTGATCTACATACTTTTTTATTATGGAAATGTGATAAACTTTTACAAACATAAATTATACCACTAAGACTGAATTCTATGATTTGTTTTGGATCAGCAATGCTAAGAATATAAAGACATGTGAGGGCTGGGGATGTGGCTCAAGCGGTAGTGCGCTCGCCTGGCATGCATGCAGCCCAGGTTCGGTCCTCAGCACCACATACAAAACAAAGATGTTGTGTCCGCCAAAAACTAAAAAATAAATATTAAAATTCTCTCTCTCTCTCTCTCTCTCTTTATTTTTTATTTTATTTTATTTTTTTAATTTTTTATTGTTGGTTGTTCAAAACATTACATAGTTCTTGATATATCATATTTCACACTTTGATTCAAGTGGGTTATGAACTCCCATTTTTACCCCGTATACAGATTGCAGAATCACATCAATTACACATCCATTTCTCTCTCTCTTTAAAAAAAAAAAAAAGACATGTGAGACAGCTCTTGCTGCTAAGAATGCTGTAAAATATTTCAAAAGTCTGGTTGTATTAATCACTGTCTGATTCCAATACGATTATGGCAGCTCATTAGTGTCTTAAGTGTTATCATTGGCTCCACTCTCTGTCAATACTTGAACAAATTTTCAGACGTTGAGTGTTTTTTTCCCTTGCTTTTTATTCAATTACTACTTTTTTTTTTTTTTTTAACTGGTACATTATGGTTGTATGGGATTTAATGTTGCATATTTGTAAGTTTTATCCTTCCTCAGCTCCTGGCAACTAGGGATTTAACTGTCACAAGAGAGTAGTTTTGTATTTTCTAACATTTAATATAAATAGAATCATAAGTACATATTTTTGTGTATGGCTTCTTTCATTTAGCCTGATTTCTTTGAGGTTCATCCTTGGTGTTGCGTGTATCAATAGGCCATTCCTTTTTATTGTGGAGCAGTATTGCATTCTATAAACAAATCATAATCTGCTTGTCCATTTATCCTGCTGAGTATTCTTTCTGGTTTTTGACTAGTACAGATAAAACTGCTATAAACATTTATGAATAAATATCGTATGGATATATGCTTTTATTTCTGTTGGGTAGAGTGTTTGGGTCATATAATAAATGTCTCATGCCATAAGTGATTGTACTATTTTATAGTTCCATCTGCTGGATATAAACAGGCTTTGAAAACTTCACGTTTCCTCGAGTCCTATATATCAGATGCAGCAGGTTCTTTACTGTGTAGACTCATCTTTACTGGACTATTTCCCCTATTCTTTTTCCTGTTAGGTAGAAATAGGTTACTAGAAAGGCTGAATATCAGTAATGTATCTGTTCTTCTCTAGCTGAACACTACTACCATGTCCAATGCTACAGCCAATAGTAGCATTAGGCCCGTCTTTGGGGGGACAGTCTACCGCTCCCCTGTGTCTCGACTTCCTCCTTCTGGCAGCAAGGTAAGCAAGCTCTGTATGCACTGCCTAGTTACCCAGATGCCTCAATCTAGATGTCCTAATTTCTAATCTCCCTGAATTTGGTTATCAGTGAGATGCTCAGAGTTGACAGACATAAGTCAGATTATCACTAGATAATAGTAAAAAAAAAAAATTAACAATGAGAAAAAACGTCACCTAGCCTCTCTGGTACTATGAAAACCCTGGGCTGTGTCGAGACTAAAGGTCAGGTGATGGTCTTGTGGTCTCTGTGAGCTAAGGTCTAGTCTTCAGCTGGTGCTAAGCTAGGTTCCCCTGTACATGGGTTCCAGCCCAATGACACTGGGTCACTAGACACAGATACTCAAGAGAGAGGGGGATTCTGCCAAAACATATGTTTAGCCATTTAGCTATCCTACAGGCTATTCTCAAAGGTAGGTATTTTGTAAAATCATTAAGAATTCAAGGGCCTAGGAGTATATCTCAGTGGTAAAATATAGTGATAGAGCTCTTGCCTAGCATCAAGCAAAAGTAGTTTTTAAATCAAAAGTATAAATTATAGACATATAAATGTGATATTAGCTCTTGAGTTTGTGTGTGTGCTTATACATTCATCTTAAGGTGACATATGGATCTCTTTCCTTACTCTAGCCAGTGGTCAGTTCCACTTGTTCTGGAAAGAAAACACCCCGTGCCGGTAGGCATAGAGCCAACAAAGAGAACTTGGAGTTGAATGGCAGCATCCTGAGTGGTGGGTACCCTGACTCGACCCCTCTCCAGCGCAACTTCAGCATTAATTCTGTTGCCAGCACCTATTCTGAGTTTGCGGTAATTCACCTTTTCTAATATCTACCAGTCTCTGGGGAGCACACAGTTGGGGCAGTCATTGTCTTTCCAAGGGCACCCAGGCTATCTGGTCAGCACAGGTACCTTGGAGGCTGAGAATCCCTTTCCTGCCTTGACATGAGGAAGGTGAGGGTGGGGGTGGCTGAAAGGAAATGTATGGGAAGTTGGCAGTAGCAACTAGACATTAACTTGGATCCTTCTGCTTAAGATAATACCACTCCCTGGCTGCAGGAGGTGACCCTCTCTAATCATTGCCCTGGTGCTCTCTTGGTGGAGTTCTTGGTAATTGTCTTCTTTGTTCTTAGAAGGATCCGTCCCACTCTGACAGCTCCACTTTTGGGCTTCAGGTCTGTATGGCAACCCCTGCATGTCCAGTTCCCTTTTTCCAAACTTGTCTATCATCTCCTTGCTTCATTCTCAACTGGGCAAAGGGCAGCACTAACCTATCATCTCAGCTGTGTTATTACAGAACTATTTTAACAAAAGAATTCTATGACAAACTTCAAAAATAAGTATCTGGCTTATGTTTCCTATAATAGGCTGACTGTCAGCCTGCTGACTAATAGAAAAACTTGTTCAGACTTGAATTGGATTCTCAGCCCCATCTAAAGTCAGGTGACGAATTTTAAAAACATTATTTCACAAAAGAAAACTTTCACTCTCCCCAATTGTGATATCAAAGGCCTAAAATGTGCTGGAAAGAATAGAGGCCCCATCATGTGGGAAGGGGAGCCCCAGCTGTGTGCTGCTTATAATGAGGTTCTTGGCCTGTGTGCTGATTATTTCCTGGAGTATATGTCTTACTAACTCAGGGCTGAATCTCAAACTTTGTCTACTGGTCTTTTCCCTACATTTGCCTGTTTCTACCACATTGAGCTGCTAAAGCATTTATGAAGCACTGGATTAAAGTAATTTTTCCGGAATGATTATCTCCTTCTATCCTGCTTTGCATTTACTAACACTTTACTGCAATGCCTTTCCTTAACAAGCTTCCTCCTCCATGTCTTGCCATGAAACAGAAGTGAGGCTGCCCCTTACCCTTTGGGGAATACAGAGTTAAAGCCTAAGCTGCCTTCTCTCTCTTTTTTTTCCCCCCAAATATTTATTTTTTAGTTGTAGTTGGATATAATACCTTTATTCATTTTTATGTGGTGCTGAGGATCAAACCCAGGGCCTTGCTCATGCTAGGCAAGTGCTCTACAGCTGAGCCACAACCCCAGCCCCTGCCTTCTCTCTTAAAAAGGATGGAGAATGGGACATTTGCCCAGGGCTATATAGCTAGTGTGGAACGTTTAAGCCAGCTTCATATTCTGGCAGTTTATTCCAGTTTGTATTCCTGGTAGTGGTTCTACCTATAGAAATAGTGTGCCACTCTGGCCAGCTGTGTGCTGGACAGAGGGTCGTGTTTTTCTCTTTTGCTTGCTCAGCCAAGGCCTATTTTATCCACTTGGGGCCCATTTTATCCACTGCCTATCTATGGCTGATCTTGGGGGGTTCATTTGTTTTGGTTGTTAAACCTAATAACACTCCACCAGGCAGCACCAAAGTCACTGACTAAACTAACCTCTACTAATATCTGTCTCTCTCAGGGGTCACTCAAGCTTTACTTTCTGCTTTTATGCCATGTGCTCCAGCATGAGATCAAATCACCAGCAGGTTACAAGGCCCTCAGCCCCAGGGATTGGTAGATACATGGTCTGGCCCATTGTTTAAGGGCTCATGAAAACAAAGCTTGTTGCTTACTTAGTTTACAGAACTACTCTTGGAGTTGCCAAAGTATAAGGGATTTCTTGGGTGAAGTTTTGACTGGACTGGCAGAGGAAAGGCGACTGGGGCATGTGTGTGCATGCGCTCAGTCTATGACTAACCCAATGGTGCTCAGTTCCTCACCTATTCCTAACATACTAGGGATCTCTCTGTCTCAGAAACTCCTCAGGGGACTTTCTGTTGACACTTAACTAGGATTATAAAGGAAGGGCATGCACGATAGGAGCAGTAGTACTGCCACTGATGTTATTTATTTTTTCAACAGCGAGAACTTTCAAAGGCTTCCAAATCTGAAGCTACTTCTCGAATCCTCAATTCAACCAACATCCACGCCTGAGAAACCCTGACCAGCCAGCCACTGTGGCTTCCTGTGCATAGATTGGACTTATTATACAGGGGTGGCTCTAGTTTTTCTTTAAATGCGCTTAAAACCCTGGACAGGTTCTGTTACCTTGGGCCTAATTTAAAGACATGAACAAGAGTGACATTGAAAGTCTGTTATGGGTTTAGTGAGTCCATAGAGAGTTGCTTTTATTTTTCTGACTCAAGAAATATTTTAAAACTTAGTTTATAGCTGTAAGTACAAACATTGGCATCTGGGACCTAATTTCTTTCTCTACTCCAGGATTCTACTTTTCAAAGCACGATCACCATTGTATAGAAAATAATTGACTAGGCCCAACCTTGGGGGATGAGAAATGAAGTAATTTTGGCATGTATACTTGTAATTAGCAATTAACATTGTTTTTTGTCTAGGGGTGTTCAGTTAATGATGTAGCTATGATAGCTTTGCTCTCACCAGAAGGCCTGTCCCCACCAATCAGGACAGCCTCCCTCCCAATGAGGATGTCTGTGTGTCAGCATTTGAGGTGGCCTGATACAGTGCCAAAGATGACAGAGAGGCTGGGAGCACCTTTGTTAAATTGTACAGTGTGTGATATATACAGTGCAATCTGTTTGTGGGTGTGTGTGAGTGACACACATGCTTTTCTGGACTGTTTCTTCAGAATTCTCTCTGGGTCCACTGTGCCCCATTGTGCCCAAGTTCTTCTATCCCTGCAGCTGCCAGCCCAGTTGGGAGGCCATCTGGGTAGGTTGGGTCATTTCTGTTGTGGAGATGAGCAGCTTTGCACATGTCACCACTGGGGACGTTTTCCTGCTATAGCTTCCACAGATGAGGCTCCTTCTTTACCTACCCTCAACATCACTACTGCACTTCCCGGAGCACTATTATTTATTCTTACTGTCTGCCTGCGCCAGTACTACTGTTGACACATTAAATGGTTCTCAAAAGCTTACCAGTGTGGACTTGGTCTATAGGTGTAAGCCATGCTGTTAGTCATGTCCTGTTTTTAAAATATAAATATATTCTTAAAAATAAATTAAAATGTGTGTAGTTACCTTTCAAAAAGATACCATGGCGTTTTTTTTTTTCTTGGTTTATTTTTCCCCACAACCAATTTTTGGTTGATTTGGCCTATGGAAAACAGAAAAGACCAAAAGGATATATGGAAATTTTTCTAGTTAGAACTTTTGTTATTTTGTGTCCTTTTTGGGGGGGCAGGGGGGTTGGGAATGGAGGGAAGTACTAGGGGTTGAACCCAGGGATGCTTTTCCACTCAGCTACATCCTCAGTCCTTCTTTGTTTTGTTTTGTTTTTTTAATTTTGACAGGGTCTTGCTGAGTTGCCCAGGCTAGCCTAGAACTTGAGATCCTCCTGCCTCACAGCCTCATGAACCATTGTACCTGGTTTCTTTTTTGCATTTCTAAATTAAGAAACTCCCATTCTTTATTTCTCTCAAAGATCTTTTTCCATAACTCCAACAACTGAAGGATTAGGAATCTTCCTAATTCATTGTCATTTGTTATATTTTTAAAGATGGACACAACATCTTTATGTATTTTTATGTGGTACTGAGGATAGAACCCAGTGCCTCATATGTGTGAGGCAAGCGCTCTGCTATAACCCCAGCCCCTATCACTTGTCATATTAACAGGAATTGCTTTTACAAAAGTGAGCTTTATAAGCTGGGCATTGTGGTGCACACACCTGTAGCCCCAGCTACTTGGAAGGCTGAGGTAAGAGCACTGGAAAGTTTGAGGCCAACTTCAGCAACTTGGCAAGACACTATCTCAAAAAAAAAAAAAAAAAAAAAGCTGAGGCTGTAGGGTAACAGAACACCCCTGCGTTTAATTCCCAGTAACAAACAAACAAAAAAAAACAGTAATAAGCTTTGAGGTATAACTGACATAAACTGCACTAGCAAAACTGTATACTTTGATAAATTGATAAAGTGCACATCTGTGAAATCTTCACCCTGACAGCAACTGCTGATTTGCTTTCTGATGCCATAGATTGCGTTTTCCAGAGTTTTTTATATAAGAATTTTTTTTTTCTTTTTTTCTAAATGGACACATTACCATTATCTTATTTATTCATTTTTTTCTGGTGCTGAGAGTTGAACCCAATGGCTCACACATGCTAGGCAAGCACTCTCCACTGAGTCACAACCCCAGCCCATATAAGGAGAATCTATAAAATATATTCCTGTTTGATCTCGTTCTTCCAGTACTACTTTCATTATTTTGAGATTCATCCATGTTGTTGCTTGTATCCACAATTCATTCCCTTCTGCTGAGCAGTAGAATTATATACCATATAATAGGGATATATGATATATATCAGTTTATTCATGTTTGTTTTGTGTGTGTGTGTGTATTTACCTTTGGGATGTGCCCCAGTTTTTGACTGTTAAAATGGAACACTTCTTCAACACTTAGCCAGTTATTTATAACTCTGCCTTAATATTTTTTTTTTTTTAGAATTTTAATTTTAATTTTTATTTTTTAACATTTTTCAGCGGACACAACATCTTTGTACGTGGTGCTGAGGATTGAACCCGGGCCGCATGCATGCCAGGCGAGCGCGCTACCGCTTGAGCCATATCCCCAGCCCTGCCTTAATCTTTAATTCTTGCTTGCACAGAACTTGCAGCTATCCAGAGGAATTTATTATTTTTACAGGCTTTTCGCTGAGTAATGTATCTAGTCTTGGCCTGTGTTCTAGCCTTCTCAATCCCTAGCATATGAGAGCTTTTAGAAACCTTTCCTCTGGGGGCTGGGGATGTGGCTCAAGCAGTAGCGCGCTCGCCTGGCATGCGTGCGGCCTGAGTTCGATTCTCAGCACCACATATAAACAAAGATGTGTCCGCCAAAAACTAAAAAACAGAAAAAAAAAGAAACCCTTCCTCTGTGTATCTCCTTTCCTGACCTCTTCATCTCCAGAAGTTATGTTTATTGCTTATGCCAACTATTTGTCCCTTGTCCCAGATTGCTGCAGCCAGTACTTGTACTTTTAAAAAGAGTTTCAGAATGAGATCCTGAATAAGTTATACTCTGTGTATGTACAATATGTACATATTGAAATATACTGTCATGTAAATCCAAAAAGAACAAATAAAAAAAAGAGAGCTGAGCTTGTAGAGCGCTCACCTAGCATGTGCAAGGCCCAGGTTCAATCCTAAGCACCAAATAAAACAAAAGAAAGAAAGGTATTTGTCCATCTACAACTAAAAAAATATTAAAAGAAAGAAAAAATATAAATAAAACCATCCAGTTCTTGAGAGCCTACCGGATAAGTCAAAACCCACAACCACAATTCTTTGAAAAAGACCATACAATTTATTAGTTGGTTTTGTGGGAGATGAACCCAGAGTTTTCTTACTTTGCCACTTTCAGTGATGTTCCACTTCTAAATGTGTCTGTATTTTAAAAGCAGCTTCAAGACAGACAAAGCTAAAACTGGTAGAACTGAAAAGAAAAATGGACAAATCCACAGTCAAGGATTTAACAACCCTCTCCCAGCAATACAGAATAGCTAGGTAAAAATCAGCAAGACTAGACGAACTAAACACTACCCTAGCACCAATCAGCCAGACCTAAGTGTGGAGAACTCCAACCAAAATCTGTTACTAGTAAAAGCCACATTCATCAAAATAGTCAAATAAATCATAACAAATTTGTCTTAAAAACTGTAATGATTGAGGCCTGGGCTTGTGGCTCAGCGGTAGAGCGCTCGCCTCGCATATATGAGACCCTGGGTTCGATCCTCAGCACCACATAAAAATAAATAAGTGAAATAAGGTATTATGTCTAACTAAAAATATATATATATGCCTTGTAATGATTGAAATAAAATGTTCCTGACCATAATGGAATCAAACTATAATAGAAAATTTCTTAGGAAGTACACATACTTAGAAATTAAGGCAAATTCTCAAGGGAAATCAGAACATTTTGAATCAAACGAAAATACAACATATTGATGAATTACAGGGAAATGAGTGAAAAAAATGACCTATAGTGGTTCCTAGTCTTGGCTGTACATTAAAATCATCTGGGTGAGAGTGGTGGCACACATCTATAACCCCTTGACTCAGGAGGCTGAGAAAGGAGGATCACAAGTTCCAGGCCAGCCTAGGACAAATATTAACATCTGGGACCTAATTTCTTTTTCTACCCCATGATTCTACTTATTGAAGCACAATCACCATTGTATAGAAAATGACTGACTAGGCCCAGGCTTGGGGTGAAAACGTAGCAAGACCCCTGTCTCAAAAAAGGGTAGCAGTGTACCTCAGTGGTAGAGTATTTGCCTAGAGTGGGCAAGATCCTAAATTCTGTCCTCGGGACAAAAAAAAAAAAAAATGGGATTTAGTGGGAAAACTTCAAAACCCATCTATGTCTAGGCCTCACATACAGAGTTTCTGATTCATCATGTGGGACACTGGCCTGTGTCATCAAAGTGCTCTCCAAGTGTTTCTATAGTGCAGCAAAGTTAAGGCCCCTGCTCTAAAGTGAAGGGGAGTGCTGTGATGGAAAGGGACAAATGCAGGGACATTGGATGCTGGCAATGGTTTTCCCTAACCTGAAAAGGAGTTCTTTTTTTCTCTCCTCACCTCCCAAAAGGGAGTTTCACAATTGTTAACTTTATAATTTTCTAACATATATTTTGTTCACTTTTCTATATTTTATAACTTAAATACATACATACACACATGTCAGGTCTTCTCTTTTTCCACAGCATACACATAGGTGTTCCATGGCCCACAGGTGACTGTCTTCACTTGGAGCTGTTTCTCTACAAAGTATTCCACAAGGCAGGGCTGATCCACGCTGGTGCTATCCTTGTGGCCAAGCTGTCCATATTTACCTGAAGTGAGATGAGTCTCTTTGCCATCCTCTCCAATAGACCTTGCTACTTTTCCATGCAGCCCAAGGACGGCAGCCAGGAGGGGATAAGGTTTACACCCACCCCCTGCTGGTGCTTGCTCTGTGAATCCAGGAGACTGGAGCCAGAAAGCCTCTAGGGCCAGGCTCAGGGTCCCAAAAGTCCAGTGGCAACCAGTCATTACAGGCAAGAGGTTCCTCCGAGCTTCCTTGCTACCTACACCAAAATGTTTACCATAGATTTCCATTTTATCATTTTCTACCTAGTGCCAGAACACACAAACATGTTTTATAAATGCTGTTAAACACTCCCTTGCATGCACACTTATAATCCCAGCTACCAGGGAGGCTGATGGAGTAGGATCTCAAGTTCAAGGCCAGCCTTGGCAACATAGCAGAAAGCAAGATGTCATAGCTCCCCAGCCTGTCAGTCCTGATGTCATCTCCTATTTCTCTGTTGGTTGTAGACATTCTCTGGAGTGTGCCTAGATCTGTTTAGACCCCAGGAAGGGAGCACACAGCTTTTCAGTTCTGCACCTCCAGTAATCAGGTTGAGACCCCTGCTTCTTCAAGATGATGTAGCTTTGTCACCCATCTTTATTTCCAGGCTTTTCCTGCCCTTGGCCTAAGGGTCACGAAAACAATTCTTATACTTACCCCAGCCCCAGGTGTACAGCTCTCCTGTTCCTAAAACCAGAAGGACAATAAATAGCTGTCAGTATTATTCTATTCTCTGGCAAGACATTGGTCTAGCCTGGCCTGGCACAACCCATAGCCAGCATGTCACAATCCTCACAAGATATGTGTGGTGTGGAACAACATATTCTCTCTTTACAACTGTCTAATCAAATTTGATGTGGTAAAGGATCCAGTGGAAAAAGTTTATCTTCCCATATGTGAACTGAGTGGCCTGCATCTCGCAGCTACTGAGATCAGGACACTGGATGAGGCAGTATCTGAGTGTGGAAGAGGCATAATCTTCTGGGCCTGACAGGCTGGGGAGCTATTATTAAAGCTATTTGCGGATAGAAGCTTGATTAAATGAGTAAGTATGTAAAGATGCCTTATACTTGGTGGCAGAGCACTTGCCTCGCACACATGAGGCATTGGGTTTGATCCTCAGCTCCACGTAAAACAATAAATAAAACGATATCGTGTCTATGTATAACTAAAAAAAAAAAAAAAAAAAAGATAATACTCTTTGCTGAGGATGCACCTTCAGTGGTAGAGTGCTCTTAGCATGTGCAAGGGCCTGGGTTCCGTCCCCCGCACCTCTCCTCACCACCTCCTCCCCCAGTGTTGACCACTCCCTTTTCTGTAGCTCCAGCTAGAACACAGGTAGAATGTCTTTTCAGTCCATCCTGGAAAAGCCTGCCCAGCCCCACTCACTTGTCACTACAGCAGTGTGCCGGGATCCACAGCTGGCTTTGACTACATCTGAGCCCAGGGGAAGATCCAATAGAGCTGGGAAGGGCTGTACAGATATGAAGGGAGCAGGGGCTCCATCCTCAGCCCCAGATAGTCTATTCACTTCAGAACCATCTTCATTCAGACCTGTGGTTTTGGAATGTTTATACTGATGATTATTAACACTGAGTATTAAGCTTATTCACACATTATCTCATTGCTACAACAGATCTACAGAGCACATTATTCTCTGGCTTTAAAGCTGATGCTCCCACCATACTCACAGGAAGTGTTAGAGTTGACAGGCTTGCAGGCTGCGCAGTGCTGAGACTGGCATTAGCCTTGCCAATGCTCCCCAGTAAGGGACTCAAAATCCTGTGTTGTAGTCTGGGGTGACAAGGATATCAGGCTTTTGAGCACTGTAGCTCTTCAGCCAGCATACATCCAGGAGTAAGAAATGATAGCAACATTGTGAGGAGATGACTCTGAAAGTCATGTTGACCCTCACCTTCCTCTGTAAAAATCTTCTTATCCTCTGCCAGGTTCCTTGCAGGCAGGGCCAGTTGCCCCGATTCATTCCAGCCCCAGATATAAATATCCCCTGTTTCTGAAAGAGATCAAGGGGACCCATTAAATAACCATGAACCCCTGTTCACCAATCCAAACTTTCCTAACCCTCCCATCAGCTTCTGGGCACTACTAAAGCCTGCTCTGCCCAAGTGGCACTCCAGGCAAAGGTGACCTCAGACTCTAGTGGCTTACTTGTCTTAGGTTCCCTGATCCTTAATTCTTTCTGGTTACCTTTCCCTTAAATTAAATCCCTGCTGGACTTTCTCTATTTTCATTTTTTCTTTATGTTGCTAAATCAATCCCCCCACACACCCAAACACACCATGGTAACCCCAGAATTTCTGCAGTATTATTTCCCTTTCAAACCCAATGAGGCAGCCTGTGCCCCTTTTCAACCCCACCTGCCACTAGTCCTGTTGCCTCTTGAAGCTCTCACCTCTCCTGTACCACTGCTGCTCTAATACCATCATGTTGAAGCAATGGCCCTAATGCTAAAAATTTGCTAACAATGATAACCTTATAAAGGTTATTATTTTGTGATGGTTTTTATGCACTTTTTAAAATATAATCCTTGAATCCTCACAGTAACCCACAAGAAATTATATGACAATACCCCTATTTTACAAATATTACCACTTTGATCAGGAGACAACTAAGGCACAGAGACATTAAGTACCAGGCCCAAGATCACAGGGGCAGAATGATGATTTGAAGGCATAGTTTGATGCCTCCATGCTTCAACCTGTACTCCAAACCTAAGCATGCCAATTCATCCTGGTCCTTAAGTGTGAGGTCTACCATTGGGCTGTTTCCAGTCCTCTGTTCTATGCCCTCTAGCCCAAAGGTTCTTCAGCTTGGCTGCCAAACCAGGCCCATTACATTAGAATATGGGGAAAGTAACTGAAAAAGCTCTAGTGATGTAAGTAGCAGATTAAGAGCCGTAGCTACAGAGATCACCTACTGCCAGTCACATGCTCTGTGTGGGCTCCAAGAGGCTAGGAAATAGCTGTCCCTGGATCACCCATATGGTTTTGAACTCAACACATCCAAAGTGAACCTCCTGGGGCTGGGGATATAGCTCAGCTGGTAGAGTGCATGCCTCCAATGCACAAGGCCCTGGGTTCAATCCCCAGCACCACAAAGAAAAAACAGAACCTCCTTATCTGGCTCTAGGTCACCACCACCAGAGTCACACCCACCAACCTCATCCTCCCTCTAGGGATCTCAGGGTCCAGTGTGCCAAACATCACAGCCACCTGGGCAACTTCCAGTCTTTTCTCTGTTCTCCTTGACTGGGCTGCCCCTCATCCTTTCATGTTTTCCTGGATGGGTATTTCAGAAAGTTGACCCTGGCTGCGGGCAGGTGGATGGGAGAGGTACTGAGAACAGTATTAGAAGTAGAGAAACATCTGAATCGGCCCAGGTGTGAGAGGGCAGTGGTGGAGGCAGAGGGACTGAATTTGAGAAGCACTGGGGAGTCATACAAATGAGTGGGTGTTGACTAAAGTGTGATGAGTTTAAAAAGAGGCCTGAAGAGGCTTCCCACCAAAACTGGAAGAGGAGGGAGGTGTAAAAAGATCATGAGCTAGTCTAGAAAAGTACTGGGTCACTCACCACTCACACACACAGAATGCCAGCCGCCAGCCGCCACCTCGGCCATGGGTAAGCCCTGCAACGCCTCCAAAAGCCTTGGTTCCAACTCTGCCTCCAGCGTCCCGTGGCCCAGCTGTCCGTGCCTGAGCAGGTGAAACCCTAGTCAGCTCTGGGCACATTAAGGGGCCCCTCCTCCGGCTTCTCCTAATCGCATTCAGCTGGCCCTCACCTGCCCCCGCCCCAGGAGAACACCTGGCCAGCAGCGCACAGCAACAACACGTGTTCCGCGCCCAGCTCTAGCCGGCGTGCCCGCAGCTCCGGGACCAGAGTCCGGCTAAAGGGTGGCTGCGGACTCACGTAGGCGCAGGCGCCAGGCAGCAGGGGCAGCGAGCCAGCTCCAGACTCATCTCGTGCTTGGTCTTCCACCTCAGCCTCAGGCGCCAGCTTCTGGGTCCAAAGGGGCGCCCCACGCAGCGCCGAGCCCGGCGTCCACGCCTGCAGTTCAGTCCCAGACTCCGTCCCGGTGCGAATCACCACGAGGAGTCCTTCCGAGGCCCAAGCATCCCTGCAGTCGTCTGCCGCTCCATTAGTGGAGCCAGACAGCTCCAAGCGACCTGCACCTGCGTGGGCAGACCGGGGTGGGACACATACCAGAGTAGGGTCTAGGCAGGGGCAGGGTGCCAAAATGGATGGCTAGGGAGGGAACGGGACCAAAATGGGAGTGCTATCCTGGAGTGGCCATATGGTAGGGTGTAGTTTGCCAGGGGCGGGGCTGGAATCGGGATCAGGTGAGGGTCTCACGGGTCACGAAGGCTGTGTAGCTCCAGCTCGCGCTAACTCGACAAACGTCGACGCCCGCCCGCAGCGGCTCAGGACTGCGCACCTGGCGTCCTCGCCTGGAGCCCAGCGCCTGCCCGAAGCCACAGAAACCGAAGCCGAACCAAGCCCCGGGTCGCTCTCCGGCCATGCTCCGCAGCGCCCTCTGCCCGCCGCCACCCGGCTGGGGTCGCAAGGTCCCAGGAATAGGGCTGGAACACAGGTGCTTCTTGCAGACGAGCAAGGGTGCGACACCCTGCGTCTCTGGCCTCCCAGGAGCTGGAGCTTCCTTATCTACAAAGTGAAAGAAATGTCATACTCCTGACTACAGGGGAAGAGGGCTGAGCACAAGTTCCACCGACTGCACAGTGTTCTCAACAAAACCGAGGAAGTAGAGAGGCAGCTCCGGCCTCACCCACATGCCCCTCCGCAGCCAACCGATGTTCTTAACCTGAATCCAAATCCATTTCTTCAGTTTTACAAAAGCGGTGAGACGGGTGCTGTTTGTATCTACCTCTCAGAATTGTAATGAATGCAAATAAAGGCTTCGGTATGTTGTTGGCTTATTAGGTTCAGTCTGGGGGTTCCAACAGCAATGCCACTTTCTCGGTAAGTTAGGCTTGATCGGAATTTTACAAGGATTTTCAAATCTCAGAAATCAGCTCATGGGTCCCCCACCCCCGGTGTCCGCTCCCAACCCAGGGGGGGTCTCTGACCTTGATCCTGGCCCAGTACCCTCCATCCCTCAGGAAAGTCCTTTCTCCAGGTAGCGCTGCGGAGGAGAGCAGCTTTGAAGAGCCGCGCGCCAAGCGAGGCCATTGGCTGCAGCAGCCTTCCTGGGGCCAATCACTGTTTGGCCCCACTATCGCGGTAACGTCACTGTTAGGGAGGCTGCAGGTAAGTGCTCACCTCCCAGGGGGTCCCGCTGGGTCGGCCAGACCTATGCTGAGTTAATCTGTAAAGTGGGCCTGAAACCTTCGGTAAGTATGGACACTCACAGGGCGGAGGAGCTCGGATTAGAACCACCGAGGGAACACTCATTAAGAGTCTAGCTAAAGTCCTAGTAACAGGGCCTTCCTCGCCCTTAGCCAGGACTGACGGGATCTCTAGCTCCTTCACTACTTCCTTCAGGCTGACAGCGGTAGCTCACTACTGGACATGCGCAGAACTCCCGGGCTATCGGGAAGCGGATGTACTGGGCGCCTCCGCTTTTACTTTCCACTGATTGGCTTGGGCCCTGTCATTCACGCTTCAGAGGCCTCTGAGCTTGGAACCCTGGTTTAGGCTCTGAGAGAAGGGAGGGTCCTGGAAGGTGAAAAGTCCCAGACCTGCACCATTCTTCCAACCAGGCTCAACTACAGAAGAGACTGGATTTTCACAGGAGTGAAGACATACACTGAAAAACTAATGTGACTCCATTTTTAAAAATAAATAACAGCAGCTTCTACCTCAAGGCCTGTCCTAAGGAAGGGGGCTGACCCTTGTCCTTGGAAAAACCCACAGAGCACTCCTAAGTACATACCCACTCTGCTGAGTTGTTTGTAAATAACAGGAGAGGTCTGCAGCGCCAAATATCCCTGACTAAGTTAGGCTAGGTGAGGACCCATGGCAACCCCCTCTAGCAACCTCCAATCAGCATAAGACAATGAAAATACCTGGAATGCACGATGACCCCCAAGAACTCTATGGTGGTTGATAACATGATGGGAAACCATGTAGTTTAGCACGTACACCCCTTGTGGCCTAAACCAATCAGTTCAAATGAACCTCCCTCTTGTACTAGCCAATCACCCCTACCCAACTTGTTCCTGCCAATGAATATGCTTTCAATGTTAAGAGTTGTTGTTTGATTCTCCCACGGTATGGAATGATTTGCTGTGTGATGTTGTGACGCATAAAGTATCCTCCCAAAACCTATAAAATCTCACAGAACAAAGGACCAGGACTCACTCCCTGGGACCGCTGAGTCGGGAACTGTTGTGAGTCCAGGTTTGAGCTTGCAATAAAGACTCTTGTGTGCTTGCATCAGATTCGGCTCCTGGAGGTCTACTGGGGTCCCACGAATCTGGCATAACACCACCAACCCCAAATCCCAAGCACTGCCTGACTGGAGGTCACCAAGACTCATAAAGACAAAAATACTGAAGGGCAAACATGGGAGTCCATATCCTAAAACCATTTATTTCCAGGAAACTGAATGGTTTCTATTGACTAGCTTCCTGGTCTTACCCCTTCTCTCTCCAGCAGGATTAAAAGCAACTCAGTGGGCCCCGGAGAGGTAAATCGATCAGATTCCTTCCATAAAGGTGGTTCTCCTGCTGCTACAGAACTCTACTGTACACTCACCCATATCCAGCTCCTGCCCACAGAGTCCTCCCTGCTCAGAGACAGAGCACACATTTGAGTACCATACACTTTATTAGAGGGGCAGACCTAACAGACTGAAAGGATGCTCACAGCTAAGAGGTTACTGATATGCCCTTCCTGATGCCTAGAATCCACAGGCAGAGTTGTAATGCCCCTCCCCAGCTCTCTACAGCGGTGAAGAAATAGGGCCCCTGTGAGTAGGCTCAAGGCAGTGCTGGCAGAGCAGGGCTGTATGACTGATTATGATCCATAACTCAACAGATTGTCAAAGTGCAGCTGTGGAGGAGAGGCAAGAGTGTTTGGTATCCCAGGGCCCATCAACCAAAGCTGCTTCTGTCCTTATTCTCAGTGCAATAGGTAGTGTGTGTGAGAGCCTTGGGACAAGGGCAGCCCTCACTTTTTATCCTGGTTGGGTTGGATAAGCCCGTATTCCATTGATTTTCCTAGGCAGGCTGCAGCAGCCCGAGTAACAGGGCCTTCCTCGCCCTTAGCCAGGACTGACAGGATCTCTAGCACCTCACTCTCCATCAGGGTGCTGGCAATCTCCTTAGAGGCGTCCACCATGTTCAACACCACCACAACACCCCGGTGCTGCAGCTCCTGGTTGGGGCTCAGAAGCAGGGCCTGTAGGATCTCCAGCCAATGTGTGGTCTGCAAGAAACAGGGCAGCAATAGGCTCAATCCTGGTGGAGAACACACCTACACCCTGGGACATCCCCCACCAACACCATGAGGGTCACCTATCCTCCCCCACTAAGAACAGCACTGACCACTTGGGGGATGCGGCTGCACAGTGAGGGTCGCATTGACGTGAGCATGGCCAAGCCTCCAGCAGCTGCCTGCCGTAACAATTCATCATCTTCTCCACTGTATAGCACCAACAGCTTCAGCCGGTCATTGCCCTGGGCTTCAAAGAGGTCCTGCACCTGTGGTCATATGGAGGGACAGAACCATGTCATCTGGGTGCAAAGCCCATCCAGGGCACAGGGTCAACTCCATCTCTGCATGACAGGACAACCTGGACCATCACTCACCTCCTTGCTCATGGCCAAGTTACACATGCACTCTGTGGCTGCCCGGCGGATCATCTCGTGTTCCTCAAACATGTAACCCTCAATCATGGGCACAGCTTTCTCCTTTAGAATCTTCTGTCTGAAGACAAAGGTAGACGAGTCAGCATCATCAGGGATTTCCCTTGGGAATGTCCATTGACAGGGCTGTACCAGATATGAACTGCAGTTGTTTCTAGCCTTCTGACTAGGCCTAGGAAACAGCATAAGACTGTGGAAAATGCTCACAAATAGGCAGTAGGCCAACAGAGCAGTGGCAATAGCAGTGCTATTTAAACCCTAACGATTGAGCACTTAACCTGTTCAGCTGTTTGGATTATTTTACTTATTCCTCACCACAACCCCATTATGAAAGCAGGTATGATTATCTTTACATTTTGTAGAAGGGGAAACTGGGACTGAGTGGTGAGTAATGTGCTCAAGATCACAATTAGTATTTTGTCAAATACATACTGAACACATTGCTAGGGAACCAAAATGCCTATGTGCTAATTACTTTTACATGTATTTTCTCATTTAATTCTTCTTACCACTACTTCATGAGCTAGATACTATAATCATCCCACTCACAGAAGGGGAAACTGAGACACAGCCATGAGTAACTTGCTTGAAGTTACACACTGGCAATTACTGAGGTCAAGATTTGAAGCCAGGTAGTCTCTAGAACCTGCAATGTTCTCACCCAATGTCTTGGTGCCTCTCCTGGCCTGTCTCCTCATCTGTATGATACAGAGGAGTCACTATGAGGCTCCAATAAGCCAATGATTGACTGTAATCTACCAGGGATAATACAAATCCTGATGTCCCACCCAGCCCTTACCCCTTACCTGAGCCTCTCACTGATCCCCGCCAGGTTTGTCAGGGCCATGAGCGCCTCGAAGTTCTGCAATCCTGAGCAGTTGAGGTGCAATAGGGAGACGAGGGGCCGGACCACTTCATAGATCTGTGATATGCCCCCCACTGGTCAGGGCTAATCACCACAGCCCCTGCTATTCCACTAACCCCACGGGGAGGAGTCCACCCTCCAAGAGAGTGCTGCTAAGGCTTTCCCCTACCCTAGGGCTTAGCAAAGCTACTGATACATGTTGGTCCCAAGGAGTAGCCCTAGCAAGAGGCCATCTGGGCCCAGTGAGGGTGGAGGAGAGGCTACGATTGAGTCAAGAAGGCACTCACCCGCTCACCAGGGAAGGTCATCTCTGGGTTGGAGGTAATGGTGAGTTTTGCAAGAGCCTGGGCTGCCTTTGTCTGTCCCACTTCAGTGCCTTCCAGAGCCAGCGGAAGCAGAGCCTGTAGGAACAAGCCCATCAGTGGCCCAGGACATGCCTGGGAATGCAAGCCAAACTGTGCCCCCACCCTTCTCCTTCTCTCTCCAGGCTTGACAACACTTCCTGCTCAGATGCTATTCACCAGAGGTCTCTCATTAAACTACTCAAACTCTTGCTCAAACACCTGTTAAGAGTTAGTTATGGGGCTGGGGATGTGACTCAAGTGGTAGCGCGCTCGCCTGGCATGCGTGCGGCCCCGGTTCGATCCTCAGCACCACATACAAACAAAGATGTTGTGTCTGCCAAATACTAAAAAATAAATATTAAAATTCTATCTCTCTCTCTCCCTCTCTCTCCCTCTCTCTTTAAAAAAAAAAAAAAATAGTTATGGATTGTGGGGCCATGGGGCCATGGAAGTAAGTGAGAAAAGAGAAAGGGAGGTGAGCTCAGGATTTTAATGGGCATAAAACACTGAGGTACTCTGAAGAACCCGCCCACATCAGCATCACTAACTCTGTAGGAAGCTATTCCTGATGGTCACTAATAATGTCCTTCCATGCCACATTCAACCCTTATCTCTGGCATAACAGGTACTGAATCATGTTTTATAAGCTAAAGGCTTAGCATCAGGAAGAAATAGGTAAACCAGCTCACCTTGCCTCCCCCCTGAGCAACCACAGTGCCTCTGTCCTCCACCTCTTCTACCAAAGCCAGGAAGACTCTGCAGGGAGAAGACAGTAGTGGGTGGAGGGGTCTGAGGTTCTGACAAGCAGATACTCCATTCTTGGGCTCAACAAAGAAAGGCAGGCAAATGGCCTCCCTTGCTCCAAGAGGCCCACAGTCCCAGGACCTCTTCCACCCACAGTCACACTAGCAGCCTGACAAGGCCTAAGAGTTGGGAGAGCTCTCATGCCAACTCAAGGCAGCCTTACCTACAGAGCAGCTCTCTACAGGAATTAGTCAACACAGGGCTCTCAGTCTTCACCATACATGTCATGGCTGACACCACACCTGCTGCCAGCAGCTTCTTCACCCGAGCCCTCACAAAGCTCGGTTTGTCCTAGAGAAGGACACAGCTTAGGAGGGGCCTTGGCCAACCAGACAGGGGAAGGGAGCCCTTCTCACAGCAGAGATTGATAAACATGGAAACAAAAAGCCAGCTGTTCCCAACAACAGACAAACTCCAAGACTCTTCTAGTGTACCCCTTACCTTAGGGTGCTGCTCAGGCAGGTGCTGCTTAGCATATTTGGCCAGCTCCACCATCTTGGGGTCAGGCTCCTCATAGTCATAGCTGTTGGTGCAGTTGACCAGTGCTGAAGCAACTGCGAAGAGCACCGACCTCTCCTCGGACTGCCAGGAACAGAGGGAAGTTCAGCTGGCCAGTCTAGGACAGAGTAGTGAATGCTGCCAGGTCTGGGGCCCTGTTTCACCCTCTGCTGTTCCACCTGGACATCAGGGTGAATCTGGGAACCTCCCAAGGCCCCAGACTTAGGGAGCTCACAAACTTGACCTCCCCCATTCCTCCAAAAAGCTCATCTTCCCTGACACTGCTGCTGCCCAGGCAACATAGAGTAGCTGCTCAGGCTGCCAGCCCTTGCTCCCTGGAATTGCAATACCAAGTCTAAGACCTGCCAAGAAAGCCTGGTAAACTATATCCTAAATGGTGTCCCCAGGGTGACAGCAGGAACCCACAGAGCTACCCTACTGAGCTGGAACAGAGCCTTCAGAGCAGCCTCATCTGCCACAAACTCTTCTTTCACATCAGCATCAAAGGTGAGGTAAGCCAGGCCCTCCACTGCCCAGCGCCGAGTGCCCGCATCGATTTGGTCATTGCATAGCCACCTGGGGACATGCAGGGGAGTGAATGACCATCTGAATTGGGGAATGGGAAAGAATATATCAGGATAAAGAAAAGTCAGAGGCTTGGGCATCCTGTCAACATACAGAAACAATGTGCCGGCATCCAGAAGAGTTTGCCTAGGGGAGAACAGCCCCTGCCTGGGACAGAAAGCCCTCTATCCAAACCCCCCACCCCCGAGCTCTGACAGGTGTGGAGCCACAGCAACACCACTCACTTTCGACACTGCTTGGCCAGCTTCAGAGTAGAGCCTTCAGCAAACTGCTTCATGCTAAAGTCAGTCCCTCCAGCTGAACCAAGCTTGCAGAGTCCCTGGAAAAAGAAGACAGGACACATTGTCTGCCCTCCTCCATGCCTAGTTTAGGCTTCCTCCCAAATTCTCTGCTTCGGCTCTCTTAAAGCTGATACACAAATCAGCACCTTCTCCACCAGGCTACCATCTCAGCATTAGGCAATGACTGCCTGTTGAGATGGCCACACGACATAGAGCCTGGTAGTGACTGGCACCCTGGCTTCCTAGATTCCAACCCTTCCCAATCTACACTGAGAATTGTTCTGTTCCATTCTAGGTCTACAATAAACCTCTTTGCAAGTGGAGCCAATATGTGTGTAGAGAAAAAACAGGTGTTTTAGCATGGCCTTATGGGATAGAGAAATCCAGGACTAAGTGACCCAAGAAGGAAGGACAGCTTCCACAAGTCCGTGGCCACAGTAGGCTCATGGAAGGCTAGACAATGCCCAAGCCGCCAGTTCCTGGGGACACTGCCTGATTCCTGCAGGCTCAGCCTTTCTTACCAGCAGGGGAACAGCATGTGACACCCTATATCCCCAACTCTCCTCCAGCGGTGGAGCACTTGCCTAACACGTGTGAGGCACTGGGTTCAATCCTCAGCACCACATAAAAATAATTAAATAAAATAAAGGCATTCTGTCCATTCACAACTCAAAAAAAAAAAAAAAAAAAAAAAGTACCTGGCTTGTCAGGAGGAACCAGGCCTTATATATCTTACTTTCACTTACAGGGTGCTAAGACTGTACAGTGAGACCCAGCCACGTCAGCACCCATGCTCATCCACCTCCATGCCCACCCTCAGCCTGTCCATCTCACCACCAGTGCCCGGATGCGGATGCTGTCCTTCTCACTACGCTTATACAGGTCCTTTAGCAGCGAGACACCATTGGCAGTGATGAATGAGGCCCTCTTGGCCTTGCCAGCTGCATGGATCAGAGCCTCCACGGCCACCAGCTGCTCTTCCTCCTGCTCAGAGGCACACAGAGCAATCACACTCTCCATGACACCACTCAGCTCCAAGGCCCGGTTGCCGGCGTCACATGGGCCCTGCAGGAGGCAGGACACTGTCTGGATGGCCCGTAGCTTCCCGGCCAGCCCTTGGCCCTCAAACCAGCTCCTGAGAGGAATAGAGTGATAGCTGTCACACCAAGGCATGCATGAAGGTACTCTCCTTTCCTTGCTTCCCTCCACTGACCAGGCACCTAAACTACTTGGAAAGAAATTGCAAGAAAAGCTGCCAAGGGAAGACAAGGGCTCTCTCACCAGGATGACAATGGTCACCCCAATTATCTTTATCTACTTTCATTCAAGTCTTCCCTGATGACATACCACCTAACAAAGGCTACTGTCACTCACACCATCCTGTTTACTTCCTTTCTTGTACTGAGATCATTCTGTTTATTTCACAGTTTATCATCTGTCATTTCCCCCAAAGCTATAAGCTCTTTAAGGGCAAGCAGTATCATGTTTCCCCTCTGTGTTGGAATGAATACATAGAAAGTGCCTAGTTGGGCTATTGTAGCTCAGTGGTAGCGTGTGTGGAGGCACTGGGTTCAATTCTCAGAACTGTATATAAACTGTATATAAAACAAAGGTCCATCAACCACTAAAAAAAGTATGCAGTAAAGGTATGCACTTGATACATTCATTGCATTACTGGAAAACTGATTTGAGAAAGAACCTCCCTAGTGAAGTCACATGGGAACAAGAAGAGAGTCTGGGCAGGGCACAGTGGCATGCACTTGTAGTCCCAGCTACTTGGGAGGCTGAGGCAAGAAGATCATTTGAGTCCAGGAGTTCAAGGCCAGCCTGGACAACATAGCAAGACTCCCTTACTCATCTTGGGGCACTTTGTCTAGCCCCTGCCAGTCCTCCCCAAAGTTGCTTTCCCTGATGAAAGCCTGTCACTTATGCCCCTTCCCAAAGAAGTCAGAACTTTTTTGTTGGAATCCCTGGAAATGAGAAAGAGGGCAGACTCCCTTACTTGATGTAGTTTTCACAGAGTCGGTGGAAATTCTCCCTCTCAGCATCACACTTCAGGTCATCAAAGAGCTTGCTGAGGAGAATGGAGGCACTCATACGGCTATTTGCTGTCACTGCAAGCTCCCCAGGAGGATCCTGCAAGGAGCCCCCCACCTCCAAGATCTTTTTCAGACCTGAAAAGAGACTCCATTTAGTCAGTAGAACACCAATTCCAACCCCTATGTAAAGAGACATGGCTTTCCAGGAGACAAGCAGGACTACCTCCTTCTCAGCCGAGAAGTCACAGAGTTCAGACAATCACATCAAAGCAGCACAGAGAACATGGCTGGTGGATATACAACCTCCAGGAGGCTGCTGTGGGTCAGGGAAGGACCTCAAAAGTGAGGTCTGCATGCCAGCCCTATGGGACCAAATATTCTGGGGCTCTGAAGTTCCTGCTCTATAAAACTAAGGGAAAAATAACACCCAGGGTTCAGAGGATCATTATGATAACAAAAAAGCTGAGGGGTGCAAAGGGACCTGGCAGAGGTGCTCAGCATGGCCTTTTCAAACCTTTTCTTATTTATCTTTTTTTTTGGGAAAAAAGAGGAGTAAACCAACATATTAAAATTTGTTTTTTTTCAGCCAGGTACAGTGGTACATCTCAGTCACTCTGGAGACTGAGACAGAAGGATCACACGTTCAATTGCTAGCCTCAGCAATTTAGCAAGACTGTCTCAAAATAAAAACTTTTTAAAAAGGGCTAGGGACATGCTCAGTGGTAGAGTGCCCCTGGGTTTAGTTCCAATAAATAAACAAAACCTTCAGAAAAAGAAAGCCAATCCAGGGGCTGAGGTTGTGGCTCAGCCATAGAACACTCGCCTAAGCACGTGCAAGGCGCTGGGTTTGATCTTCAGCACCACATAAAAATAAAAACAAAAATAAAGGTATTGTGTCCAACTACAACTAAAAAAAAAAAAAAAAAAAAGCCAATCCAATCCTTCTGTTAACCTGCTATTTCAGGCCTGCTTGGTATGTATGCCTTTGCACACATACACAATCAAAGGGTCTAACTTTAAGTTCCTAAGGGTACTATGAAGGCCATAGGATGTACTTTGAAGCAGATGCATGGCTGTGTGTTTGCTCCTTTTCTGATCACTCCTATGGATAAACAGTCCTCAGCTACCTAAGCAAATTTCTGTAAACTATATCACCTACCTTGGTCAATAACCCAGAGAGTCAGGCTATTGTTGGGATCCTTAGGTGATTTCCGGGGCACTATTTTAATCAGGAGGGTCAGAGCATTATCTCGGCCTTGGCCAGAGACCCCAACCTCAGTCAGTAGCTCCAAGAGATTATTGATGAGGACCTTCAGCTCCCGGGCAGGATCTGGCAACAAGGACACATCAGTGATTAGCATACAGAGGCCCTAGGTTCAATTCTCAGCACCAAAAAGAGGACATTAGTGGGATCCACTGTGGCCCATCCCAGTCTGACGTTTGAACTCCCCCAACAAGCCAAGAAGACACAGGGGGAACTGTATCTAGGCTCATGCCTGAACTCCAGCCTTACCCTCAAGCATCTTGGCTACTTAGAATCTAGAGTAAAATCCTGTCACCAAGCCATTTCCTAACCAACTTGCAGCTGCAAGTCTGGTCCCAAAAGAACTAGCCTCATTGGTTCAGCCCCATCCCCTCCACAATAACAACATGACAAAAAACTGCAGGCCTGCTTCACTCACCCACAATGATAGCACCTTCTTTGCCTCGGAAACCTTTTTTGACACCTTCTTTGAGGGCATCAAATATAACTTGTAGCAGGTGGCAGGCAGCCAAGGACACAGCCTGGTTTTCCACACCCAAGATGGAGACCACTCGTCGAGTTCCCAGCACACTCAGGGTTGCCACTGTCTGGAATGGGAGAGAGGCAGATAGAAGCCTCTGGTCAATGAACGGCAGCCATAGAGTTTCCTAACTCTGAGTTGGAGAGTGTGGTCAGAGGTGAGAAAACATTTGGGAGGAAGAACCATCTCCAAGAGAGCACAAAGCAGGCCTGACAGATGGTGTGACCTGGGGTCATGCCAAAAAAATTGCATTTGAAAGGCTTCCTAAAGAAAACATTCTAGGGGAGTCCTTACCTCTGCTCTCCTTGGTCCAATTAGAAGACAAAAAACACTCTGGCCCAGGGAGCAACTACTTTGTTTCACGTCTCCTCAAGAAGAGAAACATAAACTGGACAAAGGTACCTAAGCCCCAGGCCTATAGCCACCTTATTCCTCCCTAACCACAGCCCTGACGTCTGTCCATAGCTAGAGGATGTGAACATGAGTGGAATGAACCTGCAAGGCCTCTCTACCCCAATCTTCATCTGGAGAACCCCATAAGGTCCATGTGAACCCATCACTGGCTCCTTCCAGAAGCTGAAGGAGAAAACAAAATTTACATGGTTCAACCATTCTTGACCTGTTGGGAGGCCAAGAAAAATAGCCCATACTTGGCCCAAAGAGACTTCATTGAGGGGCTGGGGATGTAACTCAGCAGTAGAATGCTTGCTCAGAGTGTCCAAGGCCCTCGGTTCAACCTCAGTATGCACCCAACCCAACCCCACCAGCCTAAAAAAAAAGTGAAAGGGAATTTCTTTGAGTACTTCACAGTTCCACTTCTGATTTACAAGTTGTAGTTTCCTCTAAAAGCAACCAAGGGTCAAGTCCCTGTCTGCTAGATCAAGCCAGCTCAAGAAAGAGCTGAGAGCATGGACTTTACTACACTGGTCCAAGAGCAGGACCATTCTGGCTATACTCTCTGTGCTGAGAATCATGTCAGGGTCAGGTAGTTTCTACATGTAAAGTTACTATCTCCGTGATAAAAATGTTATGGGTGACATCTTTGACCACATAACTCTAAGTGAGGACCCCTCTCTAGAAGAAAAGCCAGTTTGATCTTTTCTTTTCTTTCTTTTTTTTTTTTTTTTTTGGTACTAGGGATTCAACCCAGAGATACACAATCACTGAGCGACATTCTCAGTCCTTTCTATTTTTTATTTTGAGACAGGGTCTCACTAAGTTGCAGAGGCTGTCTTGAACTTGCAATCCTCCTGCCTCAGCCTCCCTGAATTGCTGAGATTAGAAACCTGTGCCACCATGCCTGGCTGCCAATTTGATCTCTAGGACCCCTTTCTGAGCATATGGACACTAAATGAGTCAGTGACCAGGTGTTTTTGTGTGAGCTAGCTGCAAGAAAGCAGTGCTCAGGGTGCCCTACTTCATACTAATTCACATTGGTCTTTTAGGTATTATTTTTATTTTTCATCCTATACTCTGCCTCAAGTTCTTTTTGGAATAAGATGAAGGGTAGAAGAATGGATGGAAGGTAGATAAATTAATGGATTGTTGAATACATAGATAGATGGATGGACAGACAAATGGACTGAAGCAATAAACTAGATCTTCTGCCCTACCTACCCGTGATTGATGCTCAGAGCAAATGCCAACCAGTGTACGTAGAGCTGCCAGCATGAGGTCAGTTTCTCCAGTGTCCAGCAGGCGTTGCAAGAGCTGAACCCCATTGCTCCGGAAGATCTTCTCAGCTCCAGCATCCTCTCGGGCCAGCACCACCAAGTTCTGAGAAGCCTGTGTCGACAGAAGCACATTATAAGAGCTGGGGATGTAGCTCAGTGGTAGAGCACTTCTCTAACATGCATGAGGCACTGGATTCATTCCCAGCACACACCACACACACACAAAGTACATTACAACACTGACACTGTATGTAGCATGGGACAGGTTAAGCAGAGGCACTGAGCTCTGGACCTCCCCCCTTCCACTTAGTGGCTGAGTGACACTGGCCATAAATTTAACCTCTCTAAGCTTCCTTCTAGGTAGAGGGGAAACCCTGCTCTCAGAGTTGATGGTTAGAACAAATGTGGTCCTAAGTCTTCAGCAGAGCCTGAAAGGTAGGGACAGTGCCTCAGTTACCTCTGTATACCTAGCTCCTGGAAGAGGACTGGCCAACAAGTCACTCTTGAATACTGGTTCCCTTTTCTTGGTTCATACTATGATTCCAAGCCCTCAGAGCTACCATCTAGGACCCATGATTCAAACAGCAACATACATCAGACCAGGCCAGCAAAGGGGTTTCTGAGACCAACACCAGGGAAGAGATAGAGGACTATGAATGGGCAGATCCAGGAGTTCAGCCCCCATGGGCTCACTCAAGGCCCTATACCTTTTGCTTCTTCTCAGTCCCTTTTTCTTCTGGGTCCAACAGTATCTGAAACATCTGTTCCACTTTGGCATCTGTTGAGGACATGTATCGTACCTAGGACAAACGAGTAAAGCACAGAAGCAATCACTTCTCTTGGCCAGAGATATCACATTCCTTGCTGTTCTCTCCGTCTCCTCCAAGGCCTGGCTCCTGTTTCTGGGAGGCACAGTGAGGATGTCTGGGCTCAGGGCTAGCACCACGCTACCATGGGCAGGAAGAGACTTGCTGGGAAGCTCCTCCTAAATTTCCTGAAGTGATTTTCCTCTCTGAGCTAATTCTTGTTTGGGCAACAGGAACAGCACCAATGCTAAAGATAGTGCTCTTTGGAAGGGGAGGTATCCTATTAGCCACAAGGAAACCCACTGACAGTGGTGCCATCTATGTAGAGAACTCATGGCATACTCATCAAGGGAGCTGGAAGGTTGGAAGGCAGTTGCTGACACTTCTTTTAGCTCAGAATTCTCTTTTTGACAGTTTTTTTTTTTTTTTTAATCTGAACAAGCAAGACCATCCTAAGCCTACTTACCTACCCATCCCCAGGTGATTAGGCATCGATGATGGCACAAACCTAGTCCCCACTTCTCCTCTTGCATCCATGGCAGACATGACTAATCAAGCACAGCACATTCCCTTGCTAGGCCCAGGAAATATGCTTCCTAGTCCTTCTCTACATATAGGCAGCTGCTGCCATCCAAACAGACTTAGCAATGAGAGGAAAATTATTTGTTTTCCCAGGTCTCAACCTGTCAATAAAGTGTTTGCCATTGTATTATTTGCTTCTACTGTATATTTTAACAACACATTATCTGGTTAATTCAAACTTTGGTTAGAGTTCATGACAGTCTTTGAATTATTTTCCCTCAATTAATTTAAAAATATATGTAGTAGGGCTGGGGTTATGGCTCAGTGGTAGATCACTTGCCTAGCATGTGTGAGGCACTGGGTTCAATTCTCAGCACAACATAAAATAAATGAATAAAATAAAGGTATAAAAATTAGTTTTCATCAGCTGTATTTAAAAATATATAAATATATGTGCCATGAAACAATATCTTTATTAAAAATATATTGACAGTCCAGGCACAATGGCAAACATCTGTAATCCCAGCAACTCAAGAGGCTGAGGGCCTCAAAAAAAAAAAAAAATTTGCCAAACAAACCACACAAAAAAGTATGGTGCCATTATTTTAACCTGCTTTTCCCTATCCACTGGCATGGCTGAGCATCATTCTATGCTCACTTGCCATCAGCAGCTCCTGTCCAGAGAACTGTGTCTATACCCTTGATTCAGACTACTTCATCATGGGGTCAATGCTCCAATCTCTCAAGTCTTTCACATACCTTCTCCTGAATCTGGCCCCCAATGCTCCGCAGGGCTTCCTGGAAGACTTTGTTCTTGGGTTCTAGGCTCACACATCTCTGCAGGTCAAGGACAGCTTGGTCCAGGCGGCCCAGTTTCTCTAGGGCTTGGCTCCTCCGGTAAAGTGCTTTGACATCCCCACCGTCCTTTTCAATGGCTGAGCACAAACAGGAGCTCTGTCAGCACCCATGAGGCCACCGTCTCCAGGCAAGAGCAGGAGGGAAATATCTCCAGGGCCAGAGGAAGGTGGGGGGATGCGTGGGTACTTCAGCCTCAGAAAAGGTGAGGGTAACTGTGGAAAAGGAAATGCCCAAGGGAGTGGGAAAGAAAGAAGGCAGATGTGTTTCAGGGTCCAAAGGAGAAGAAAGTAGATAGATAGTGCAGTGCTCCCAGAGTCCTTGCCCACCAAAGAAGCCCCACAGCTCCACGTGAGGGCCCATATTCCCTTACCTTTAGATGCCTCCGTTTCTGCTTTATCATAATCTTCCTGTAGAAAAAAAGATCAGAAGCCTGAGAAGATGGTCATCTCCCTTTCCAGGCACTAAAGGGACAGAAGAGATACACTTGTTTTCCAGAGTCACCCGATCCCCCAACACCCTGAGGCCCGAAGACATCTGGCAATCATAGCTGGGAAAATCGAATGCCCAGATCAAGCCCAAGCAGCAGCAAAGATGGGCCAAATAGGGACCCACGCAGGCCAGGGAAAGAGCGGCAAGTTTCCCTCACCAGCTTGAGGTGACAAGCAGCCAGATTCCGGTGCAGAATGGCCTGGTCCTGAGGCGTCGCGCCCAGACCTAGGGCCTGGGTATAGGCCGATAAGGCGCCCTCGTAGTCTCCGCATTTGAACAGCTCGTTGCCCTCTTTGCGCAGCTGCTCCACTGAGCTGGCCTGTGGAGAATGGGATGGAAACGTCGGGGAGGCAGCTCAGGGAAGAACAAGGGAGCTAGGAGAGGGGAGCAGGGGTCGGGAGCGGGTCCAATCGAGGGCTAAGAATGGGAAAGGAGGCCAGGAGATACCCAGGGTAACTGTGAAGGAGAGATGACACGGAAGGATGACTACGCACCCCGGGGACGACGGGTCGGGGTTCAGGGGTCCCTGGACCACTCACAGTCATCACGGAGCCGAAGTCCCGGGCCCGCGCAGGCGCAGTCTCTGGGGCGGAGGTGGCCCTGGGCTCTGGAAGCTGCCAGTGGCTGACGCGCCCCAGCTCTGAGTCAGAGGCGGCGTGAGAGAGGGGCGGACCAAGGAGAGCGCGACCCGGCAGGGGCGGGGCGCTGGGGAGGAGGTTCCGCCCCTCTAGCACGCGCACCTAGTTTGTGAGCTCCGGGACCTGCAGGGGGCGCGCAGCGGAGGAGCCAGTGGGGGACCTGCGGCGGCTACAGCTCCGGCCAGCGCCCCGGCCCCGACCGCTGCAGAAGTGCAGGAGGTCTGCGGTCATCAGGGCCACGATCAGTAGGCTGTAGAGGCCCAGGGCTAGGAAAGCACCCGGGCCCCTGTGGGAGAGGGGAGACTATCAGGATAGTGGCAACCGTGTGTTACAGACCCCTGCGAGTCTGGAGAAAGCGCAGACCCCTCTCCCTGAATAAATTTGCACACGCACATATTTTGCAAAGGAACATTTTGGAGTTCACAGATACCTAAAGCCACCCATGGGCAGATTCAGAATTAAAACCTTCTACTACAATGTGTGTAACACACGGATTAGAGCACACATTCTTTCCGCTTACACATTGCCCCCAGCCCCCTCCACTTCACAGCACAAGCTAATGGCTTCCGGTTGCCCACTTTCACCGCCCCCTAAACATTTCCTTCACAGTTGTTTGTAATTATGATTTACGTGATTTTCGGTTTGCCGTCTGGCCCTCTACTGGTCTGCAAGTCACAAGTCTCCCACCCCAGAATTTAAGGAACAAACTCCCAGGCACTGGAACACCCTGTTCCAAAGGCTCTGGGGCTGGAGTTCTCACCTAAGGATGGGTGGCGGAGGAAGAGCAGACAGGTTGACTTGGTATAGGGCCTCAAATTCATCCCGGGTACAGCAGTAGCCCCCTGCAGCCTGCAGGTGACAGCAGTAGGCTTCCTCGGGAGTATCAGAGAGCCGGGGACAGAAGAAACCAGAGTAGTGGCGGCCATCAGCATCCTGGGTGGTCTGGCACAAGTTGGGATGGTAAGCCAATGCTGAAGAGACAGACAAGGGGTCTGGAGACAAGAAGGAGGAGTCTGTCCAAACCCTATTCCACAATTCCCAGAAAGTAAAAGGGATCATCCCCTACCAAAACAGAAGGTCCCTTCTTCCCCTCCTCACCAACTCCCCAAATAACTCATACCACCTGCAGGGAATGAAAGAGTGCTGTACCTGAGAGAGATGTGGGCTGGGCAAAGGTCATCCAACTGAAGAGCAGTAGCAGCCCCACTGACAGGCCTGTCATCAAGGGGCCTGGCCTCCTTTTTTGGAAGCCCATGAGAAGTCACCTCCACCTCAGCCTTGATTCTAGGAACCCCATCATCTTTCTATCTAAGCCATGACTGCAGAAAACAAGGAATTAAAAATCAAAGGGATGGAGATGTAGCTCAGAGGTAGAGTGCTTGCCTAGCATAAACAAGGCCCTGGGTTCAATCCTCAGTACCATAAAAATTTTAAAAAGGCATTGGCTTGGGACCATAAGTGGACACATGCCTATAATCCCAGTTACTTGAGAGGTTGGGGCAAGGAGGATAGAAAGTTCAAGGTCAACTTGGGCAACTTAGCAAGACCCTATCTCAAAATTTAAAACCAACAGAAAGAAAGGCCTGGGGATATAGCTCAGTGATAGAGCACTTGTCTAGCATGAGTGAGTGAGTCCCTGAGTTCAATCCCTAGTACTGAAAAAATAAATACATACATACATACAAAAGCACCGACACCCTTAGGCACCATTAACACAAACCTGAAGCTCTTCTACTACAGGCTTCTAGAGAGATGAAAGCCACTCAGTTTTTATCTCCTGCTGGAAAAAGGCCTGTACTTTTAAACTACCTAAGGTTTTCTGAGCAAAAGGGGAAAAGGCTCAGAGGAATAGAGGAGGGACTAATGGATGAGACCAAAGATAAGCCATTGGCCTGAAAAATAGACAAGTATTTAGAGACAAATATATCGCTATCTACCTACTCTTCAACTTCGAGGCTGCCATGGAAGCCCTGGGAATTCTGACGGTTCCATTTCAGGACCTCTGTTTTCAGCTTATGGAGCTTCCCTCCCTAACCACCGCAACGTGGCAACCACCAAATCTAGCTGTAAACCAAGGGTGAGTCTCTTCATTAACTTTCCTCCTGAGCCTCATCTCCCCCAGTTACCAGCCAAAACACAAAAACTACCTGTTTGATTGGAGTATACTTAGCAACAGGCCAATTCCAACTCACAGGAAAGCCAGCTGGGGCATCTCCAGGTCTCTATGACCCCTCATACCTCATAGCTGCCAGGTAATTCCCTAAGACAGGGAATTTCTCCAGAAGACCCAAGTCACTAGCCAGCAGAGTTAATTAAGTGTTATCACAGAACCTATCTAGGCTAGACAACATCATGCTCCAAAAACAACAGGGACAAGACTCAGCACCCCAGAGGCCCACAGCAGTTACCTAGAGACCAAAGCAGGGGCCCGATGGAACAAGAAAGCAACTCAAATTTTACCTGAACACTGAAAACAAAAACAGTCCTGTGGAAACACTACTGCTGACTGGAAGTCTAAATTTGAAACATTTAGGCAGGGCTCCCAGTTTAGGATCCAATTTTCCAGAAGGTCAGGCCCTAGGGTCTCTTAGGCCCAAAGGTGGAGCTGGTCGCCCATAGTAACAGGACCCACATCCTCAGGGAAAACTTTATGGAGCCCTTTGAAAATGTTTCAGAGCACTTACAGGTTAAAGATTGCCTTTAACTCTTGGTAGAAGCTGTCTCTGACTCTGAGACTAGTTGAATTGTTCCTTCTCTATGGACCCTGTATAGTCTCCTATGCCTTTGAGTACTGGACTTAGCACACTGTGAGGCCACTGCCTTATTTCCAGTTTGCCCTCCCACCTCTCTCCACAGATTATGGGCTCCCAAAGAACCAGACTATGTTTTTCTTTATTTTCTTTCTTTATTTTTATGTGCCGCTGAGGATGGAACCCAGTGCCTCACACGTGCTAGGGAAGCGCTCTACCACTGAGTTACAAACCAGCCCCCAGACTGTTGTCCTTCTTGAACCCTCACTGAAGCACACTGAATAAGGACTGTGATGCTGAATGAAGCTCTCCATACCAGTCTTTCTCTGTGCCATAATTTCAGTTCCAAGAGGAACCAGTCTGTGGCAGCTTGTTAGAATCAGAGCCTCTCCAATCCCTGGGCCTCCGAGGCGCAAGGAGGCGCTGTAAACGCTCCAATCCAACTCCCCCTGACACAGTCCCCAGCGCCATCCGCGCGATGGGCTCTGAAGCAGCGCAGCTGCTGGAGGCTGCAGACTTCGCTGCTCGGAAGCATAAACAGCAGCGTCGGAAGGATCCAGAAGGGACCCCCTACATCAACCACCCCATCGGTGGGCGCGCCGATCCGGAAGCACCCCTAGCGGCGCCTGGGGGTGGGGGTGGGTACTGTGAAGGGCGTGCACCTCATTGAGCACCTACTTTATCCCAAGCTTTGTGTCAGACACTGTTTGTGCGGTATGATTTAAGCCTCACAAGAACCCGGGGCAGCAGGCATGATTATTCCCTTGGTTCGGTGAACACCCCAAGAGAATAAGGGACTCGCTCAAGGTCACTCAGCTAGTGAAGGGCTACATCTGCCTCTCCAAAATCCAAAACAGTGAGGCTGTCTCCGATCTTAATTCCTGCTTTGCCCTGCCAGGTGTGGCTCGTATCCTGACCCATGAGGCAGGAATCACTGACATTGTGGTCTTACAGGTAACTTTACCCCCTCTCTGCCAGGAGGTCAGGGTGGGGATCAGAGGTCCCTTTCAGCAATGGGCACCCCTTGGTTGACATCACAGGACTGAAAGGGAGCCTGTCCCCAGGCGGCCTTGCTTCATGACACAGTGGAAGACACAGACACTACCCTGGATGAGGTGGAGATGCACTTTGGGGCACAGGTGCGGCGCTTGGTGGAGGAGGTAACAGATGACAAGACTCTGCCCAAGTTGGAGAGAAAGCGGCAACAGGTGGAGCAGGCACCTCACAGCAGCCCAGGGGCCAAACTGGTGAAACTGGCAGACAAGCTGTACAATCTGAGGGACCTGAATCGCTGCACCCCTGAGGGTATGTTTCCCCACTGGTTCTGAGGGAACATGAAGAGATGTCCCCCTTCAAAAATCACAAGTTAGTCATATCAGTGGAGGGGGGGGCGTCTAGGCATTCTCAATTCCCCAAACTAATCCTACTAGAATAGTCTTCTTTCATAAGGTGAAAATACAATAGCTGGGCCAAGAGGAAGTTTTCAAGACAAATCATTCCGTCAGGAATTCATCTCATGGTCCTATACCAAGCCCTCCAATCAGTAAGCAAAAGGCAATGTTGTCCTTGGCATTACACTAGCAGGTTTCTGTCCACTCTTATGCAGGATGGTCAGAACATCGCGTCCAGGAATACTTCGAGTGGGCAGCACAGGTGGTGAAGGGGCTTCAGGGAACAAACCAACAACTGGAAGAGGCTCTAAAACAGCTGTTCAAGGAGCGTGGGCTGACACTCTGAGCAGTGCTGGGAGCCATGGGTGCTACTGACTCCAACCCTCCCATGCCAGACCGGATTCATACTTAAGTTTTTCAGTGCCTCCTGATCTCCCTCCATGCTTCACTCAGCCCAGATATTGAAGGTTAAAAATACTTGCTTTTTCTTACTCTGAAGGTTTCCCACCAACTAAACTGAGCCTGGAATGTGGGAAGCAGATGTACTCCCTCCATTTCTAACCCAGTCACTGCCCTCTCCTAAGTCCTGGGTCTGTTTACTATTTTGCATGGTGGGATCTCTAGCCCCTTAGAGACCTGTGCTTGTATAAACACTGGTTAGATGTCATCATGGAAAATAAAGCAAGTGGGGTAAAGTTTTAAGTTGCTCTCCTCCTTCCCCAGCCTCCTCAGTAGACACCGATATGTTGTAGGCTTGTCCTCCACAATGCAGGTTTCCAAAAATGTGTCCCCGGTGTCAGCTCCTTCTGATTGAGGGCTTCAACCCCTGGAGCCTGGCTTCCTTCTCACAGCTGGGCTGTGTCATTATAAGGGTCAGATTACGAGACAGACAGAAAGGGTCTTCATTAAAATAACTGGAAAGTAATACCAGCGCTTACTGGAAATCCTGCCTGGGCACTGAGAGGCCGAAGCCCCAATAGGAGACGGCCGGTGGGGGCTTCTATTCTCTACCCTAGACCGCCAGGTGATGGGCAGTCCACCTAGGAGTCGCTCTAAGAAATTGGGTGTTCCCGCGGTTGCTAAGCAACAGGAACTTCCGGACGTCCCGGAAGTGGCCTTGGGGAGGCAGTTCCGGTGAGTGAATCTGTTGTTGGTT